TGTGACGGATTAAAAATCACCTGGACAAATCAGAGTCAGAAATACTTTATTAATCCCCGGGGGGATAATTATAATAGAAATAATAATAATATAGAAAGTTAAGCTTCTGTATTACAATATTTAACACAATATACATATAAAATAGAAAAATATAATAAGTACGTACATTATAATACAGTATATGACAATGTATAGAGATATCAAACAAAGTCTTAAAAGCTTAGAAAATTCTTAATTTTAACCATTATGTTTTCAAGGATAGAAATATGCCCTTGAAACAATCCTGTCACCATATTTGTTTGTTTTCTCCTGGTATGTTTACTTGGCATTCATAGCTAGATCCCTTACACTGGAAATTGGCATCCATTAAATAATCATGATCAACAAACCACAGTAAAAGCAACAAAACATGTACAGCTGGTAAAATAAACAAAGTGACAATATACTTTGATTGCTGTGGTTAAAATGAATTCTGTGTAACAATAAAAGCTTAGAGAGTCTGGAAATGTTTGGTTTAGGTAACTTGTTAGTGTTTGGATTTTCCTCCTAAAAGCTGCATGAACCCTGCTGAGTCTGATTTACTGTTCCAGTAGTTTATAGCACCATCTAATGGTTCCCAGTTTATCCTGTGGTAGGGTGAATTACCCACAGCAGTCTCCCTTGGTTGCTCTGGCTCCATCTTGAGGTGTGTTGAGGAAAAAGTCTACTTCTTTGGATATGATAAGTAATAATATGATTTCCCCAAGACAATAACACGCTTCCTGCCCCTTCTCCAACCCCACCAGGTGAAGAAGAACAGCTCCCCTCCTCTCTCGCTCTACGGTCAGCTGCTGTGGCGCGAGTTCTTCTACACGGCAGCCACCAACAACCCCTGCTTCGACAAGATGGAGAGCAACCCCATCTGCGTTCAGATCCCCTGGGACCGCAACCCCGAGGCGCTGGCAAAGTGGGCGGAGGGCCGAACCGGCTTCCCCTGGATCGACGCCATCATGACCCAGCTGAGGCAGGAGGGCTGGATCCACCACCTGGCTAGACACGCCGTGGCCTGTTTCCTGACCAGAGGAGACCTGTGGATCGGCTGGGAGGAGGGCATGAAGGTAGACCTTGTTGTTTTTAATCTGTTTAATTAAAGCATGTAGATTTCTTTGATTTCTTTGTTTTCTTTTTAAATTTACACCCAGATTTGAAGTCTTCATGCATCCCAAAGATGTCGTGCCTTTTACCTCCCAGAAAACACTTCTCACTGCGGTTTATAAACGACGAATACTCCGCTAACACACGGCTTGTTTGTGTGTTCAGGTGTTTGAGGAGCTGCTGCTGGATGCAGACTGGAGTGTGAATGCAGGCAGCTGGATGTGGCTCTCCTGCAGCTCTTTCTTCCAGCAGTTCTTCCACTGCTACTGCCCTGTGGGATTCGGCCGTCGTACAGACCCCAATGGAGATTACATACGGTATGCTGACGTCCACTCAGGTCCTATATTTGGTCCCAATTCGAGCTGCAGTGCACATGGGAACTCTTTAAGTGTATGATATGCTGTGGTGCTGCAGATACTGATGGATACTAGTATAACAAGTAAAAGCATTTAGCTCTGCATCCTTATAAATCAGTATTGACTAGTTCCACCTCAGTAAATGTGATCTTGAGATGTTTCTGCTTGACGGGACAATGAATGACTCCACCCTGCCCACTCACTAAACCTCTCCATCTCTTCACTCAGGCGTTACCTGCCCATTCTGAGAGGGTTTCCAGCCAAGTATATTTATGATCCCTGGAACGCTCCGGAGAGCGTGCAGAAGGCGGCCAAATGTATAATTGGAGTGCATTACCCCAAGCCCATGGTGAACCACGCAGAGGCCAGTCGGCTCAACATCGAGCGAATGAAACAGATCTACCAGCAGCTCTCCTGTTACAGAGGCCTCGGTAAGGACACTAGATAGCTACAGAGAGTACTTTCTCTCGGGACATCTTTAATATTGATATGAAGCAGGATCCACCAAGGCTCAGTGATAGTTTCCTGATGTTCCTGTTACATTAGAGTGAGTGTTAAGAAGTTTAGTTAAATAAACTGCAGGTTAGAAAAAGCTTCAACCTCTCAGGCAGGTTTTGGCATCCACAATATAAAGAACTCCTCATCTGTAGGAATGTAAAGAGATAATGAATGCATGAATATTGAATGGCGACACCTTAAACAGCAGAGGGCGCTTTCTACTTCTGACTTTGCTTGTTTGATGTGCTACCAAGGTGTTTGGCAGTTTACACCCTACCTCAGAAATAAAAAAGGATTCATTAATTTGATAAGAAAATATGAGAGAAAATATATTTTGTAGATTATTTTGTCTTCAATCTCATTTTGTTTAAAAATCATGAGAAATTCATACCGAATTGTATCGACTCAATACATCCCTAGTCATCTGTTTAGGACAGAAAATGACCACTAAAGAGCTTTTTTAGCTCTCCAATGGAGGCAAAATGCCAAAAATATGATCTTTAAAAAAGAAAAAAGCCAACAAGAACCTGACTGAGGACGTTGGGCTTCGATTTAGGTCAAGTGGATTTAAAACTGTTACTTTAGAGCCTGAATAGGGTTTAAAAAAATCTTGTAAAAGCTGATGACTGTTGTCTTTATCTTTAGGTCTATTGGCTACAGTTCCGTCCAACTCTAACGGTAACCTTAACGGTGAGACGGGATTCCCTGTTGAGGCTTCGCACAATGCCGCAGCTTCATCTGGTAAGCGAACATAACTCCTGCAGTAGTTCTGTGTTTTTATAACTTCCTCTGTCCTGTCTGTCAGTGGAGTTGTGACTAAAGTGGATTTATTTCCTGTTTTGTGTTCACAGGCTATCAGATGCCGGTTCACTCCCAGGAAAACTGGCAAAGCGGTGTAATGATGTACATGCAGGGCGATCAACAAACCAGCATCACACACCAGCAGGGTGAGGACACGTTTAAATACTACTTTATTCTTATATTTCTCACCCTTATGTTATCACGCAGCACTCAGTAACTTCTCTGCTAATCCTTGAATCATCCTTGAATTACAGGTTACGCAGGCACCAGTGCCAGTGTGATGTGTTATGCCCAAGGCTCACAGCAGATTCCCGGTGCAGTAATTCAGAAAGGTGAGAACTGATCGACCATGCTTTATAGTCCAATACAGAGATAGCAGAACTTTATTTTCAGGGCGGCTTTCTAAACTGTGCTGCTGCTTTATTCTGTTCTCCAGGACCCGAACACCACTGCAGCACTCAGATCAGCGTTAAGCGGCACAGCGAGGACTCTGGGAATGGCAAAGGCTCTAAAGTCCAGAGACAGAGCAGCCACTAGAAAGGTTGGTTGGAAACTTTAAACAAACTAGACTCATTCATTTTTGGAATTTGAGGCGAATGGAAATAAAAAAAACAAACAAACCTACAAACAAAATAACAAAATACCATTATTTCTTGAAGATTAAGTAGGATGTTTACTACATTGAAGGCTTGTGTTACGGATGTTTTCAGTGCTTCTGTTAATACTACAACAGAAATGTTAAGTAGAAGTTGTTATTGAGGACGTTTCTTTGTGTATATTACCCTTAGAATTGCCACACAGACAGAAAGATACTTGTCAATAGGATTTTGGTCTTTTCATTGGATTTTCCCAACATGTGCAGACTCCTAAAAGACTTTGTGATATGAGATATTAGTTTTTAACTAAAATAAATGCACATTTTAAATTGTGTTGTCTATTTAGTGTTGATGTTTTATTGTCACAGCAAAATAATTCAGTGTATTTAATGACAATTGTCTTTATTAACTTGTGATGATGCTGAAAGATCCATAAGCTAAACTTATAGACTTAATTTGTTGAGAAGAAATACAGAGAAGAATATCCTTTTAAGTGGCACATAATCACTTTAGTGGCTCTCTTTACGATGTAATCATAAATACATCAGATGACATCTTAAACGTCCTTTTCCTAAATGTATAAAGTGAAGTTGATACATCTTCCCTGGTCGATCTATCAGGAGAGTTAATTTCTGAAACTGCATTTATTAGACAGATGTTTAATTGTGTGTGTGTCCTTTGTGTCTCCTCAGAGGAGCGTCTGCAGGCTCCGCTGTCAGTCACACCGTGTACACAGCCCGACACAAAATGGACACAAAGACTTTGGTTTCTGTTACAGCACTACACTGTTGCATGAACACACCTTGAGGAGGAGCAAGTTTCCTCTCGAGTAATGGGACTGTATATTATCACGTGGACTGCACGGCCCCCCGGCGGCCCAGTGCCGACAGCACTGGAGCGGCTGTTACACTGTGCATACATTTGGGTTCATGTTGCCGGGGACAAACAGTCTTTGTGTATATAATGGATTTGCTAATTTCTGCTCACATACAATTTGTACATATTTGGATATTGTATGGGTGTTTTTCTCTCTTTGTGTAGCCATAGACCCATTGATATATTTTTGATATGAGAAATCATTGTGGATGGATCTTTCTTTTTGGAACATTTTCAATAAAAAAAAAAAAATGAAAGTGTTTATAGACCGTCCATTCAAAAACAAATGGTGAGAAATCTTGTATCTATTCTAATACAGCTGCCTGTCCATCTCATTTATTCCACTTCCCATTCGAGCCATCTAGTGTATCTATCATCAAGTGTTTCGACCATTTCCTTCCTTCTATCTCAGTACTAGTTGTTTTATTCCTCACCACTGTAGCGGCAATATCAGTACGAGTAAAAGGCGACAGGAAGACAGACTCTTCATATCATGGTGTCCCCCTTGTACAATCCCCTAATAAATGTACCCCTGGAGAGAAACGCTTCACCTGCTTCATGTCTCCTCTCAATGTGCTTGTTTAATTAAAGACAGAGTTAAATATAAAACTGGTTTCAGTCTTTTCTTTGAAGCTGAAGAGTTGGAAACAGTCAAATATTTAGATTTTGTTTTTACTCTAAAACACGTTTAAATGTAACTGAAGTGACAGGTCGTGCTAGAAAATCAGCTTTTAGACACTTTGAAAAGTTTAGACATGGCTTTTATTGCTCATTAGACATGTTCAGTTTATCAGTGTTAATTGCAGTAGTAAACAAGGGTAACGGACCTCGATTGGCGTCACTATTATAATGTTTGTCAGTATGTTCCTTCACATACTTGATCATATAAAATGTTATGTTTGTTATGATAGAGAAAACAGTCAGTGTCATATTTTCCCAAGAGGGCTGAGCATCAAATCAAATGACCACGTATTTTATATATATATTATATAATCTAATATATATATTCTTCATGCATCTTGCACAAAAATGTATTTCATTTCTCAAAATCTGCATGAAAACAACATTTCATAAAACTTTGCCCACGAACCCACCCGATATAACCGCACACTGCAGCAGCACATCCTGACATTCAATCTATCTTGAGGGGAGCTACTGGGTTGAAGAGCGGCCGCTGCTGCCTGAGCTGCAGCTTGCCGTAACTCATCTCAAAGTCCTTCTTGGTCCCAACGATAAAGTCCAGGCTTCCAGAGCGCACGTCGTACCCGTAGGACGCCAGCTTCTGGATGCGATAGAGCACGATCTGCGTGGTGAGCTCCATGACATTTGGAGATTCCTTCACCTGCTCCACGCTCACTCCAACATCCATCAGTCCTTGGAACCGGCCCACTAGGATGGGCAAGGAGTAGTACAAAATGGCTGGGCAGCGGATCACTATTTGCTTGAGTTCGTCCTTGGAGCAGGCCAGAGCCTCCTCGACGTAGGCCAGAGCGTGCTGCATGGCCTCCGGCTGCAGCTCGGCCATGGAGGCTCTGAGTTTTGAGACCAGGGTGAGAAGCTCCTCCGTGGTGAGGCCCTGCTCCCTCAGGAAGCCCAGACTGTCCCTCCAGGCCTCAGCCGGCCGCAGGAGGATGTACGGGTTCTGGCTGAGGAGCTTCTGCAGCCAGAGGCGCAGGTTGACCTCATCTCCGCCCAGGTCCAGGTAGGTCTCCCTCAGAGTGTGGATGACCTCCTGGTTCCGCTCCACAGGCCGGCTGAAGCTCTGCGGGGCGCTGGCCATCAGCTTGCCGATGATCCTCTTGCTAAGGCGAAGACTCTGCAGGTAAAGGATGTTGGCCCGCTGGTTGCTATGGTGAGTTAGTGTGAAGAAGGATGCTGGGAACTTCTCAATGATGCCCATCAGTTCACGCTTGTTGGGGCACACAGACACCCAAAGGTCTCGCTGGGCGGCCACATCCTCCGGCCGACACAGGACGGCTTCAGGGTGGGTCTCCAGGATGCTGGCGATCACCGGTGTGTCCGCGCCCATGTCCCTCAGCAGGTCGGCCGTCTCAGACACGTACGCAGAGCTCTCAGACAGAATCCAGCCCTTGAACTTGCGTACCTTCCGGATGTCCACCGACAGCTCGTAGAGGGAGTCCACGGTGTGCTGGTTCTCCAGTCTTTTGTTGGGGGACGTCAGTGTGGAGGACGGGGCAGAGGGAGGCAGGAGGAGCCTCATCCGCTGGCTGTATGTGCACAGGGAGGCAGTGGTGACACGAAGCATTGTGGACTGTAGTGGATCTGTATGAAAAATAAAGAACATGTGTTGGTAAAACGGGCGTAAAAGGAGGACTCATTAGTGATTTTGGCTGGTGACTCCTTAAAAACAAGCATCTTATGATCCCTTATAGCTTGTACACACAGTTTTTTAGTGTATTCTACATATTTAATTGACTATAAGATAAGATATATGCAAATATTTGCATTGGAGAAGGTGGGACCAGTGGATTTGATTGTATTTTGTACTTTCAGAAAAGGTAAAACTATTTGATATAAAGAATCATGTGCAAAATGTATTATTATTATTGCTGTGTAATATATTTTACACCTTTATTATACGACACTGGAAGCGCATTTGTCACTGTCACTGTTTTCCAGTCTCATCCAAGTGTCTTTACCAGTTTAAATATACATTATAAGAACTAGTTCTTCATATTTATATTTAAAACAAACCACATTTTTAGGTTAAAAAAGGCTCTTTTACTAGTGATTTTAAGTGGCACTAACTTGGTTTTGTGAGGTACACAAACATTCCTGATTTAAACCTTTTGCTAGGTATTTTGTGTTTACAGTACAAATAAAAATGACAATATTAAGTCACTTAAATGACTAAAGCCACCAAAATGTACCTTATTTTACTTTAAAAATGTGATGTAATCAGTTTTCTTTAGTTAAATTAACGTATGCTGTTTTACAGTGAGGAGGGTTTTTTTGAAATTGTTTATTTACCAGAAGAAATGGGGGAATTATCTCAACCCATAAAGGAGAATTTAATCCTTCAGTTTATCAGGAAATAAAACCACCAAACGTGAAGATACATACAAGTAAAGTAACGAGTAACTAAAGCATAGTATGTTGAATTTGGCAGAGCAGCTCTTTAATAAATAAAAACCCCATTTAACTGCATTGTGTTTGCATGTGAATCAACAGGGTACAGTAGTTGTTAAAATGCATGAATAATTGTCTCAGTTGGAGTAAACCGAGGGAACACTATGTCCTCACTGTGCAGCTGTAGTGTTACATGTTATGTATGTGGCAGTGATCGGTGCCATCTACTGCACCCAACACAAGACACCAACATCATGTTAGACAGTAAGAAAAGAAAGCACACAGAGAATATATATCTATATATGCGTGTGGTAATGTTTATATGAAATAAGAATAATCATATTTTTACCAGTTTTTAAAGCCTTGCAGCCCTGGAGGACACCGATTATCACACCAACTGCTCTGCTTTCATAACAAGAGGAGGAGCTGGGCGGAGACAAAGAGGAGAAGCACATGAGAGGCATGTGCTGTACCGGGGCGGCCCGCAGGGAGGGCTGGGAGGGCGGTGCTGTCCCCGCCCACCGGGCCATTTATAGCATTTGTATCTATTATATATGATATAGAAGCAGTTAAAGGACCGGTTCACACTTTGTCAAGCATTAAGTTATATTGTTCCCTTATTTAACAATGTATGCCAACAAAAATCACCAAAAATAATCAATTAGTTCATTTAATGATCTGGTATTTGCCAGTTTGGGAAATATATTTGTATTTGGAAAAATGCCTGAATATATAGAAAATTAAATAATTTATTGTCTTCTAAATCTCATGTTTTAAAGTTAAAATATCTTAATTTTGGGCCTTTTTCCAAGTAAATATTGATATGTGTGATCAGTGTATATTTAGCCACCCCTTAAAGGTTTCAGCCCTCTTTAGGCTGTGTGTTGAAGATAAACTATAAGCTAACAAACTTCACCTCAGGCGATCAACTTCTGCACTAAAAGAAAGGGAATAATTTGGAGGTGTTATGAGTTATGAGATAAGAATGGAGACGGTAACTTTCTCATAATTATGAAGAAAATAAACACTTCATAATGAAAAATGTAGGTGTTTTACTTTTTATTCATATACATTTTGGTAATGCTTTTGACTCGGTCCCTCCAGGAAGGTTGAGATTGTAATAATTAATATATATTATAGCAGTTTCCTGCAAGTTTCACCAATCATAGCGTCCCACAAAACTTTATTCTCACTGTAACTGGAGTTGCCTTTGATTTGTAATGAATTATACAAAAAAACCTTTTACCCATAATTTTATTGCAAAAACTCTAAAAATCTAAAAGCAGCATACATTGTACTTATTTTTATATAAAGTTGCCATTAAATCAGGTATTTTAGGCCCAAAAAAGCTTGTGAAATCCAGGAAGGATTGATAAATAACATTAAAATTAAAAAGCAAAACACCTGCTGTTGTAAACTTGCGCCACCCAGTGGAGAGGACAAGAGAAAACAGAGAGGCAGTCAGGGTACACAATTATTTATTCCATAAAATAAATGAAATAAATAAAAAAAAACAAATGGCTTTGACAATCCTAAAGTCGTGGCGAGGTCGACTCCTCTTGTGGAAGGCGGGGCTTGTTTGAACCCCTCAGGTTTCTTTAGCACTACACTCTTTTGTCACTGTGTTGTCAGTTATATGTCACTTACAGGTTACAACAAAAGCTTTCAAACAAAGGAAAACAAAAGCAACTTCAGACGTCAGCGGCGAAGTTAAATGTGAAGCTACAGCACCCAGAAATCAGGCGACGCCACACAGAGCTGTTATTAAAGGATGTCAAAAAAAAGGATGAGACAAGGTTACAGGACATTTCTTACTGTCAACAAATCCCAGAAAAAGAATAAACATATCCTTTTTCCCTTATTAAGCTTCCTCCTCTGTGCCAGAGAGCTCCATTGTTGTCCAAGGTGACACTTTCCTTCATTACAAACACACACACTGTAGTTTATTTGGACTCAAACCCACACACACACACACCATCCTGCTGCCCCCCCTCCCCCCTTAAGTGGACTGGTTGCACAGCAGACATCTTGCCTTAATAACAGTAACGATGGCTCATTTGCCCTCTTAGTGGAAGACAGCCCTCATTAATACATCTGTGCGTTTCCTGTTGTGGCACGCCAAAATGTCTGCAGTGCAAGCAGCCGATACTCACTGGAGCAGTGGTTAAAATAAAGAGGTACAATACAGCGCTGCATCAGAAAAGAAAAACACTCAATTAAACCCATTTTTGTCGCGATGCAATAACACTAACTTAGTGAGAAACGTGAGCTTCACTGAGGATCTTTGTCTAATCCAGAGGTTGTCCAGAGGTGTTACAGCAGCTAACGACTGCACTGAAAAGAACAATATTGAATATAAAACGTGATTTATCAAACTTACATTTATATATATTTTTATTAAACTTGCAGTATAATTATTTCAGGTATGTGGGAATCTGGTGCACTAGAGCACCAAATGTGGATTAACCCACCACTGATTGTAGTCCCCAATAAGTGCTCTGTTCACTCCTTTATAAAGAGATTCATGTCTCGAGTAGGAACCAGTGACAGGAAGTGAGAAAGTATCGATAGATGAACGATACCGCTGTTGGTTCGTGGGATTTGTTGACAATAAGATGATGAAACTTTGATGAGTTCAGTTGGATTTTGTGTCCAAACCTGACGCCAGAATTAGACTTTGGCAGAAGATGTGAACCTACAGGGTCTCTAAGACGGGAGGAATCTGTCTCTCTTTGTTGCAGCTCTGCTTCTTGATTTATTCTTGGTCATAGAGCTGAAATGAGTAATCGATTAGTCAATTGGCAGAAGATTAAATGGTTAATCTAATGAGCAAGTATACTCCTCTGGTTTCTTTGTCTTCTCTAATAGAGATTCAGGACTTTTGGTACGACAAAACCAACAATTTGATAAGCTTAGAGGCTTTTTTAAAAACTATTTCTAACATTTCTTAAGCAAACAATCAAGAAAATAATCAATAATTGCTCAATTCCAGCTTAAAAAGTCATTTGGAAACAGTCAAACTTTCCATTTTCTTTCTTTACTTGCATGTTGAGGGTAACTAAAGCAAAGACAGTCTGTAAACCACAGGGTTTTTCTAACCTGCAACATCCAAACCAAACCTGATTTCACACAGTGAATGTGCTCAGCTAAACAGACCTACAATACCGAGTGTTTTCATGATTATTGATGGAAAAACATAACAGAGAAACACAACTTTAAAGCTACTTTGTGCTACAGACGCCAGGAAAGCCCAGCTCGGATTTATAAATGGCAGAATAATTAGTGCAAAACGTTCAATGGCAGACGCGTCAATGTGATATAGAAACATGTAAAGATCTGTTGTGTTGTGCAGCCTCAGTGTAAAGCAGTATTTGTTCCCCATTCATTTTCATTGGCCACTACAGCTGGCCTGATTTTGATTTTGTGTGTGTGTGTGTGTGTGTGTGTGTGTGTGTGTGTGTGTGTGTGTGTATGGCTTAGACAAAAGTGTAAATCAACCAATACTTGCAAGAATTGGCAGTTGGTCAGTGTATTTAAACGAGTTTCTAATAAAAAAAAAAAAATCCTCTTAGCAAGACTTGGATTTTGGAGAATTAATTAAATCCAACCGTGATAATCAGATAAGCTGAGAGAGCAGAAAAAAAGAAGCAGAGGAAAAAAACATACAAACTGTTGCATATATTCGCCCACAGAACCCCTGAAGCTGCTTGTGCTATTGCTGTGTTAGTTAGTTTGTACTACAGCCTACATTACTGAAGAGGAGGGTCCATCACCGCCCCCCTTCCCTTTCAGCTCCACTCTGCTGTGTTTACATGCTCATAATCTCCACCCGGGTTAAAGGAAAAATCCGCCCTGTTAAAATCTGTTAAAAACAACAATCGCAGCGAGTGTTTCCATGTGAATATCGACTAGCAGCTACAAATTCAGTTTGACGGCAGGGAATAAAAACAAATTGTCAGTTATGAAGTGAGTCGGATTTAAAGTGACAGGTCCAACAAACACATACAGAACAAAAGGACTGAAGGCTTACGTGGGCACTGGGAGCAAATCTAACGGTGCATTCAGGTGGTCTTTGTCAACATAAAGCCAAAAGATGTTTTGGGTTTATCACCAAGAAGCTCGACTTCAGCCTGAAACCTGATTTTTATAAGGTTTCAGAGTTTCTGCAGGTTTCAACGGGTTCAGTTTAAGACCCATTTTATGTCTATATGGGAAAGAAAGTAGAAAGGATACGAAGGAAAATACTGTATTTGGTTCTGTGTGTCAATTTGTATTCGTTACAGCTCAATCAACAGAATTATTTTCCAAAAACGCTCATTTTAATACAAATAACTTCAATTCAATTTGATCAATTGCCAATCAAAGGTCTGTCAAAATGATATTTAAGACATTTTAAGGCCTTAAAAAGCCATTTTAAACTTTTTAAGACTCCCTGTTTTTCAGTCAGAATTAGTTTCAGAACTACAATTATTAGTTGATATTATTATTAGCCGACTGACAGAAAACTGATCTGCAACTATTTTGACAATCAATGAATCTTCAGTTTTATGTTGTAAACATCTTCAGTTGTGGAGCAGACTGCTGTTTCGAGCGTCCCAATTTCATACTACATTAACTGCATTAATTATACAAAAAGCCCCTTGACTTTTGAGTGTGCTGTTGATGTACATTATTGCCCACAATGCAATGCACAGAGGAACTGGAGGCGCTGCTCACAGGTGTAAACATTTAAATTACAGACAGTGAGGATGACAGCACCAGTAAAGATTTTGAAAGCCCTCCTCCCCCTAAAAAAGTATGAAATCTTTGGAAAAACATTAAGTTTGACTGACGTTGACGAGCGCACGTATTGCATCAAATCCTTCGGGTGCAGGACGGTGAATTACATTCTCGTACACCAACTGAAAGACTGTAAACTCTGACAGCAGTAAACACTCTGCGGTATTTGTATGTAGTACAGAATTGGGACGTTTCATATCTTCTATCTTCCATTATTTACTCCCTGCAGCGTCTCCTCCGTTGACCCGGTTCCTGTAACCCAACGTGGTGATGTGGTCTCACTCTGAATGCGCCGTTAAATTTGGTCTTGGTCTTTGATGGAGGCGTCGCTCGAAACCAGACACAGCTCTCGATTATGCGGCATGATTAAGAGGTTTATATAATTTAACACTGTGCCCCCCCCCCCCCCGCAATGCCTGAAAGCAACATTTAGCCCCTTTATTTTTCTGACAGTAGATATAAATACAGCTAATCAGCAACTCGAGGGCGAAGAAAAACACGTAAGGAGACATTACGCAGACGAATGGGACCTACAGCGACGGGATCAAAGGGCAGATTTTTTCCTTTAACTGTTGCGTCATCGTATCCCGCTCTTATTAAACCCATTATATTCTCTCATAAGTGCTTGTTGTTGTGAGTGTATGTGCATGTAAACACACCGGTTTCAACTCAAAGTCCCTCCTCCAGCTGTGTGTCTCCAGGCAGATTTATGGCCTCTAACAGTACATCATGATTTATACACTGTGACGTGTGTGTGTGTGTGTGTGTGTGTGTGTGTGTGTGTGTGTGTGTGTGTGTGTGTGTTCAGTGCATTATGTTTCGGCACCAAAAAAAAAAGTCTGACTGGAACCATTTAGATTCACTGGTTTTGGTCCGAGAGTCTTCAGTTTGCTTCAGGTCAGGTGGGAGATTCATTCAAGTGTGTGATGAGTTTTTTTGTTGTTGTTGTTGTTGTAGTTGTTGTTGTTGTGTGTTGGTCCGTCTGTCTCTCCACGTAGTCCTTCCGCGTGTCAAGGCCATGTCTTCCCTTCTTCTTCCTCCTCTTCCTCGTCCCTGCCTTTTACCTGACGTCGTGGAAGTAGAGGTTGGCACATAGACACAGCAGCACGATGGACACCAGCATGTAGTAGATTAGTTTCCTGAATTTAGGCTCCAGATCGCCCTGCCGGTACCAGAATATCTGAGGGGGGGGAGACATTAATAAACATCCTTGTTTTGGGTTTTTTTTCCCAACAAACTTCACAAGAAAAAACATCAAACACCAAAAATGTTAAATTATTAAGCCACAAAATTCATGTTCATCACCGTTTTGAGGAAAAAAGAGCATTGGTTCAGAATGAGCTTCCACTAACGACAAAAATTGAGAAAATGTATTATTTATTCCCACTGACAATTATTTTTATTATTAATTGATTAATAATTTAGTCTAAAAGTGTCAGAAAACAGTCAAACATGCCATTTACAGCTTTCCAGAGTCCAATGAAATGTCTTCTGTGATACTGAATTACAGTTACTTCTCTCAAAAGTAGTTTCATCACTTTACCAATTACTGCATATAAACAAGTAATTATTTATTAGGTAAAGTAACTTTTGTGTTACTTCTAAATGTCTGCTCCAGTTCTTTTATTAAGTGTCGCTGCAGGTTATTAATACTGCCGACCACCGGAGGGCAGCAACGACTAGAATTCATACCTGTAAGCTACATTTATTGTGTTGGTTGGTAGAAAGGAGGATTTAGTAGAAGAATATCTACATGGATGTAAACCATTGACAGTATATATATAATGTAAACATGACGTAAACTCTAACCGAGCTTTGCTACAGTTAGCTGAACTGTCTACTGTAAAGTTGGTGACATTAGACCATAAAAAGTTGTGGAATTACAGTAAGGCGTTAGTTAAAACTGGGAAACAGTGACAGAAATGTGTTTAGATGGGTGCTGATGTGTGTGTGTGTGTGTGTGTGTGTGTGTGTGTGTGTTACCAGCACTATAGTGGATCCACAGACTAACAGGATGCACACGGCAAAGAAGACATTAAGCGGTCGTGGAGGCACCGAGGGGAACACAAAGGAACTGATAACAGTCACCTGGAAGACAAAACAGGATGAACGTTAAACACAAAATACAATTTTCCAAACTCCTTAAACGCTTCCGAAACATCGCGACATTTTGGGGTTTTCCTCTTAGACAGGTCACTGAGGACATCGCTGTCTTCTTCTATCTGTTTTGCCCCATCCTGAAAAGGGCTTTATGCCCCAAAGAGCAGCTCTGATAACTTTGTTACAGTGCTCTTCAAAGGCAGGAGAAGACGCACAAACTGAATCTCTCTCTGTTTATTAAACCTTGTGCTGCTGCACTTTAACCCTTTCAATCCTGGGCCAGAAACTGCATTTTTGTACAAAAAAATAACTACAGAATAACCAGGAATATTTGAACATGAAGACATGGACTATATGCAGGTAGAATACAGAGTTCATTACAGAACAGCTTTAAAACTAAGAGATAAAACAGGTCAAGTACTGATAAAGAAAACCAAAAAACTGATTTACTAAAATCAAACTAATCTTCATCAAATGTGAATTATTTAGGCAGCTGGTCAGTGAAGAGCCTCTTCTGCCATTAAGCACAACAGGACACATCCAGACTTCGATGCTCCTGTGTCGATCGGATTGCCACCATAACACACAAGGAGTGTTATTATGAAGCAAGCATGATAGCTAAATTTGCTCATGAGAACCAGAAGATACTGATACGCTCAATGACAGCGAGATAGACCGGTCGGTTGGCCTAACTCGCGTACATTCACTGGAGCAGGAAACACTTCCACAAGACTCAGATGTAAAAAATGAAGGATCTTTTACTCCACAGTTTTGTAGTATCTTCAAAATGAAGCTCTCCTAATCAGCAAACTGTACTATGGTGAGAAAATCATGTGGCTCAGACCTATTTCTCTTAAAGAGACAGTAACCTACATCGCTGCTCTAACGCAAAGCTTCCACTACAAAAATGTCATGCTTACAGTTAAATCAAATGATACTTAATCAATAAAATCACTTATTTATCCAAACACTTAACACAAAACATAAATTATTAAACAAAATACAGACTGGGCTCCCACAGAGCTCCTTTAAAGGACAGCACACAGCGCTCAGTCAGGGAAAAAGTCAGGAAATGGACAAGAAAACCACGAGTCTAGTAACACTTTTCACTTTGGAGAAGTAAAAACAGTTGAGTCATTGTTTCAGCTGCAAACTCCCCTTTTCCTCTGAGGAAAATTAGATGTGCAGGTCTTATTTTATAGACCAGGAAAGTGATTTCAAACAGGGAAAAAAGGGAAAAAGTCCCGACCTGAGATGCTTCAAATCATAACACCGGTGCGTGTAGGTCTCGTGGAGCCGCAGCTACAGCCATTAATGCTGACTAATCAATGTTCTGAAACCACCAATGTAAAATATCAGGAAATTAATTATAAAAGGGCCCTGGACATGTTAAAGCAAATATGCTACACAGTCAATGGGGTACTAACAATTTGCATGCAGCGTTAAGAATTGAACCGTGCTGACATACATCAGTATGTAAGACTTTTAATCACTCGAAAGCTCTAACGGTGGATCAATTATGAGCTTTTTAGACTTAAAAGGAATCCTACATTACCCTTTCTAATGGTATTAGTACACATTCCACGTAGAAGCACACAAACGCCTTTACATAGCTGCATTTTATAAATTCATATCGCAGTTCAGAACTACATAACTCTTTGTATTTGTTGGTGCTCTTGTGTGGTTGTACGTCTGCTAATGAAGTTTCCGTTCCACTTTACTCTGCATCATGATGACTAACCTCCAACAACAGAGGACACACACACTACATACAGTGTTACACAGTGAGGGCTGCAGAGGATTCGTACTTACTAGAACAACCAAAGATGTGACTCCCCCCACTGCCAGGTTGATGATTCGATCCTGTAAAAAAAAAAAAAAAAAAAAAAAAGTTTATAGAAATTAGAAAGATTAGAAACATACAGAACCATGCCAGCCTGACGGTTTCAGAATTAAATAATAATATATTAAACAGAGGTTGCTGTGGTGCATTATCAACATATATTATAATGTTGTTTTTACCTTCCAGACAAGTGCTTGGAAATGGATTTCTATTTAAAACCCTACCTTTCTCCTTAAAAAAGGTCCAGTGTGTAACATTTAGGGAAATCTATTAGCAGAAATTGAATATAATATGCATAACTATGTTTTCATTAGTGTATAATCACTAGAAAATAAGAATTGGGATGTTTTCGTTACCACACAATGAGTCGTTTTTTATGTACAGACACTTCAGGTCGCCATCCATGAAGTCCACCATGCACTGTAGAAACACGGTGGACTCAAAACAACAACACTGACTCTAGATTGCTGACGCTAGATGCCACTAAATCCTCCACACTGGTCCTTTAAGAGAGCACCAGGGGTTGTACAGGACACCAGTAGTGCCCTGTTACTATTCTTTGTCTAATTAAAACACATTTTTGCTCTAAAATAGTGAAATCTCTAGAGTCCTGGTACAAAACCGAACTTCTTCCAGGCTCCTACCCGTGCCGAGGTCTCCCCGAACAGAGGTCTGTTGTCCAGGCCGCTGGTGCCGTACGTCCTGGTGGTGAAGTCGTCCATGGCCGGCTCGGCAGACACACACTCAGCACCGACCACTCGCCTCTCAGCAGCGCCGCCTCCTGGAAACACCGGGCCAGTGCTGCATGCTAGCTGGCTAGCTTCCAGCTGCCCTCCCTCTGCTCAGTGTCAAGGGGAAGCTGTCGGTGTCAGCAGACCGATGGGGACATTGTGGTGGACGTCTCTGCCGACCAGTTTATTACTTCACCTGTGAAACAATGAATAAAAAACACAAGCTGTAAGTCAGGCTGCACAGTTTATATCCATCAAAATAACTGCTATATGATGTTTTTACCACATTGTGCAGCTCTAGTTGTAACAGGAAATGTTTACAAAAGGGTGAATCTCAACCATCAGACAATAAAAACTCGTCCACAACAACATCAGGGTTTCCTGGAACTTCCTGCCTTTCTTGTAAAACCATTCAAAAAAAAGTCCAGCGTTTCCTTATTTCTCAGTTTAATGTTTAAAGCAACAGCGAGAACTGTCCAATCACAACATTGCATGCAGGTGAAAGGCGAAGTTTGCACAGCTGCGGGGGAAGATAAGTGTATAAGCATCATATAAATCTTTATATTTAACGTCATTTTTGTTTTATTGAATGCTTTTTGGACATTTTTTGGATTGTTTTTATTTAGTTTTCTGTTACCTATTTATTACATAGGTTGTTTTTTTCTTTACATATGTGAGGACATTTCATACGTGAAACAATTAATAGATAAATCATAAAAATCATAAACATATTAACTTATAAGAGTTAGTTGCTGCAACACTTATTACTTAATATTTTGCGCAGAACCACCCCGGAAAACTAGCTGTGGCTTTGTTGAAGCTAATGAAAAAAAGAAGAACAAAAGAGTTCTTCTATCATAATATAAAAGCATAAAGACACTCACACAGCTATTGTGTGTTCAACATAAACACATTAACAACTTCTCTGACAGAGGAAGGAGGCAGTTTTCTGTGGAAGTCAACCGCTGCTGGTCAAAACACCGCAGAAAACAGATTCATTCTGCTTCACTTCCTCTATTTTCAGGTGTTACAGCGACCACAAGCCTGTTCCATCTTTCTGAAAAGACTCGCAAGTGATGGTGATGATGATGACAGTTGTGTGAAAAAGGGGAAGTTGAAATCAAGTCTGAAAGTCATACTCATTCAGCCTCAGCTTTTTTTTTTTCAGTCAAAATCAAACAATCTGGTTGATTTCTAACCCTAAACCCGACAAAAACAGTGCTTTTCAAGGCCAGCAGAGCTTTTAAACCTCTGAACTAAACAGTTAATGTTAGTTTTCTTGATAAAAATAATGGAGACTTCAGTCTTTACAAGAGATAATGTTGTATTTAAAAAGGGAAGTGTCCTTTTCTACCTTATCTTGTCATTGTTCAAGTCTCTTTTTAGGTGAATATTAACTGTAAATGAACACACAGCCCTCTCATGCTGCGTACAGCTCCAATAACCTCCACTAATATGTATGTATGTATGTAGAAACCAGGGCAACAATTCCACAAATTCCTTTCTGGAGCATAAACTAGTTGAGATTTTTAAAGTTTCACCCCACCGAGAATTAAAGAGGCCCATCTAGAAGAAAACAGAGCTTTTTAATATCCCCAAACTTACAAGGAGTAACAACGATATTCAAGAAAAGACAGAACCGAAGTGCAGAGAGCATGAAAAGCAGAGGGAAAAAGTTTAGTCCCGTTGTTTCACAACCCATTTGGGTGTGCACAGCTGGGGGGCATCAGCTCATATTCTCACACTCTGAGCACAACCGAAACAACAACAAAAAAAAAACAAAGTCTCTTAATCTAATTCTTCTCAGAGAGGATTATAAAGTGCATTACAGTAGGTGGTGATGACGATGGTGACACCTCTGGGAGAAAAGGGTTTAAATGTACATCTCTAACGTTACAGTTTCACACGAGGCTTATCAAACGACCATTTTTCACGGCCGGGCCTTGTGGTTGCTGCTTTGGTTTCTGGGTCAGAAGGCGGCAGGAAAGGAAATAAAAAACCCCTCGCAGAGCTTTCTCAGCAGAAAAACACACAGTGGAAAACAAGAGCTTCATTATAAAGTGGCATAAAAACTGGCCTAAAGCTACATTCCTCCTGAGCCTTGTGATTCACTAGGCTCCTTAAAACAAAAAAAAAAAAAGAGACCCCACGACTTAACTGAGCTAAGAGGAAAGATATTCGGTTCACGTGTGAGCCAGAGGTCCAACCCACGGTGCAGAGATACCACGATAAAGCCCGGAGACTTTTCCTAACAGGTAAATGTAGGGAAGTGGAAAAGTAAACACAGGTAGCTCGAGAAATCAACTATAATATGCATCCATCATTATGGATCAATGTTGTGGTTGTTTTCTTTATTTATAGATGAATTTAGTCTAAAACTGTGGAAATAGTTTGAAAATGCCAGTTCAAAACTCAAAAATATTCAGTTTACTGTTATAAAAAGTTCATATTAGCCTCATTTTCTGCTTAATTAATCATCTAATTCTGATAAATGAATACTAACATTAAGATTAAGATCATTTACTTGCATTCACAGAGGTCAAAACAGTCCAAGGGCCTGCAAACACCCTGGTTTAAAGGGTGTATTTGGCATGTGATACAACCACTTTTCCTGTTTATGCATGTTCAATCCCATCCCTGGGAGCAGCCACTGTAAACAAATGGCCCCCAGCATTTCTCTTTTTAAATGGGCGAGTATAAATGAGTTGTGCATTAACATTAAACATTCATAAGAGCCATTATAATGTAAGAAAGGAGACAGCATACTGGCTCCAGATGGGGCGTTCAAGAGATAAAACATCTACAGCAAACCCACAACATGAATGTCAACAAACCAGCATTTCTGTTCTACGTGCCATCTCCCTGCAACCTTATCGATTATCTTGATTGGTAAATAGGTTACCTCGCTAGCAACAGCAACAGCAACGCAAACACCTTTAACTTAAAACAGCTTCGTTAGCAGTTCAGTCTATTGCCGGAGCTAAAACGCCAAACAACCAACCTTCATGCTGACGTTAGGCGGAGAAAATACGCCGACAAACACACATTATATATTATATATAAACAAGCTTTAAAAATAACCACAATAAAGCTTTACCCGTTACAAGGCCAACTCTAAAGCAGGCTGCTAGCGAGGCTAAGCTAACCTACCCCAGACAACCTGAGAGAGAATAATCAATACCTTTACCAGACCAAGGAGAAACAAGCTGATAAGTGATTAGCCGATTGGTTGTTTCCCCCCCCCTCTTCCTCCTCCACTCTCTTAGTTTGAACAGCACACTTGCCTTACAGCTCCTGTGTTGACTGAAACATAACTTCAGAAAATAAAAAAAAACAACAACAGCCGAGCAGCAGGGTCGAGTATGAGTTAAAGGGAATAAGCCCGGTAGCCTCGGTTCAAGCTGTTAAAGGCGAGTTCAATTAACGTTGAGCCGACGCGCGCCGGCTCGCCGAACTTCATTCAAAAAAATCGAGCCTTTTTGAAACGGGGAGACTCGTTAAAGAGCACTTCTTTAATGTTTATTTTATCTTTTATGTTTAGTGTTACGGTGATGCTAGATCGCGTTTGACCCGAGGAGAACATAACGATCACCGGGCGCACTTATTAAAGGAATAATAATAATGTATGCGCAGTACCTTACTGAGCACTAAATCGTCAATATTTTGAACTAAGTTTGGTTGAAAGGCTTTTGGCTGTTCTCTAGGAACAACAAAATGTTTTTCAGCTGTTTTCTTATAAACAGACATGACATACATTAAAACAGAAATTAAATGCTCAACTTCGAGTCACTTCTGGTGCTTTTATTTTACTTTTACATGCGTAGTAGCTTTAGAAACTTGCAAAAGTACATTAAATTGTCATAATTCTGAATGGAGTTTGGTTTGAGAATCTCAAACTGTAACCCAAATTTTATTACGTGATTTGATAACCAACATTACTTTTATAAAAAGAAAAAAAGTGGCCTTACATACATTAAAAGATGATTATTACCTTATGTAGCTTTAGATAAAATAATGTGAGTAAGTAGGCTATAATGTAATTTTGCATCACTCACCTACTTTGCTGTCTGTGGTGCAATCAATGAGCTTGTAAATGTCTCTGGTTCAATTTATTATTTCTAATTACAAGATAATATAGCGTAAATCTCTCCCGGCCACAACCCTCATATCTGAGAGCCGGTGGGGTAAATACGTAATCTCACCCCTCATGTTAACCATCACATGAGGAGAGTATGACGAGCCCAGCCATTAATCCTCAGTCAGACTTTTAAACAGCGCATGAATGTTACAGTGAGTGGGCATGAGATCTCTCCTCCTTAGACCATGTGGCTTATGGTAAAAAAAATAATTAACCCCTAACTCATGAAATGACTGATGTAATGAGCATAACATGTTTGATAAATAAGGTATATTACCATTTTTCTGTGTATTTGTAGTCAGATTATTTTACTGTGGCTCCAAACGTCCAACATTTACCTCATATTCTAACATTTTTATCCCTGAGAGCATCAATTCTGAGCTTTTTAGTGTATTAACAGTCATGTAGAGTTAGTAGGCAAAGAACTGGAGACTTTTGGTGAACTATTCCTTTAACAAAAACCATGCAGGGGAATAATCATGTTCACCATGTGGAAAACAAAATAAACAAAATCCCACATGAGCTCTGCAGTTTAAAATTCCTTTACTGAAAACACAGTGGCCGTATTCTTCATCAAAGTGGGTGTATCTGTTGACAGGCTACCAGTTGAAGTCCAGCGCACTATCAATATGCATAGACTTTAACTTTGTGGACATCACGGTCCTGACATTCCCTCTTCCTGTTGTAGTAATAAAAAGTGTCGTCTCGACGTTGGAGCTTCTTCACAAAGCCGGTCTCTGGCCATTTGTCAATCTGAGACAGAAACAGAAAATGAGACATGGATGATATTTATAACTGACTACACCTCTTATATTACATATCATTGGTAATTGAACTGTTTGCTCTATATTGAGTTTTAAAAGAAAAGTAGACACCATCAAAAAGGTTTCAGGTTTCTCCCTACACATTCAATTTAATTCTCATATGTTTAAAATCTTGTGTACAATAAGCCTGACAATCATTTTATAACTACTTAAAAACATATGTACCAAGGTAGATTATACCAATCGTATATTTTAAGTTAGAAAACTTAGTTCATAACATCTGTTTCTTTGTGTGCTGAGCAACAATCAGGACCTCAAATACCAAAATTGTCTCTTTTCTAGTGTAAGTCTGTCTATTATTTAGTTTATTATGTCTCACAATAACATATACCAGCCTGCCATTACCCCCAAAAATCCCTAAGTAACTGTGTTTGATAAGGGAAAAGTGGTGATGAACAGTGATCCTGTTTCTGAATCAATGACACAGCTACACATTTAGATCAGGATATTTACCAAGGCCCCTTGTTTGACTTGTATGTACTCCAGTTCATCTCTGTAGCCTGCCTGCTGGAATCTGAATAGGTTTTCCACATCGGCCGTCCATCCTTTCGCTCTGCTCATGGACTTCGGCTTGGAGTTGTTGTCAGACATGGTGGTGAAGCTGAAAGATGTCACAGTAAATTCACAGGTTTTTAAATTCCTGGTCAAGAGGACTGGTTGGTATCTGAGACAGGGCACGAAAGCGCCTTAAAATTATTTAAAGTATACAGTATAGCACAAAAACAAATGATTCTAAGTTACCATGCACTCTGTAACAGGGGGTTCACATTTAAAACAGGCGAAGTAAATATTAAGAATCAATAAAGACACTTATTGGAACAATGCATTTCCATATACCCTAAAGATGCCCCGGTCATAATAAGAGATATTTGCATTGCAATGTATGCCGAATTAAAGTTTAGACACTAAAACAATGTAGGAGACCTAAAAAAGACATATATCTGTCTATAAATTATACATTTATCACAGTTGATACTTTAAAATACGATATTCTTGAATCGGATTTCGTGTTCGTGTCGGGCTAACGTTACACAGACGAAAAGTAAAACCGAGAATCAACTGAGATCAACTCACAGCCTCCAGTACTCACATTTGCACATTATGTAGTAAAAAATAAAAATAAAAATAAAAAAGATTACTTACAATCTCTTTTCTTAAAAATAAGTTGCTTTAGCCAAAATAGTCTCGTTTCTCAACCGTCTCTGTTACCAGCTTCTCTGCGGTTGCCTGGTTACGGTGAAAACTTTCTTCTTCTGTGTCGGAGGACAGACGCCAACGGACGTTGGCAGAACAATAAAGAAAACCGTTTTTAATCGGCATTGTTAATCCGGTATTTAAATAAATAATGTAAAAGAACGTGGATAAAAAAATGCGTGTGTATTTTTTGTTTTTAATAATAAATAAAATAAATAAATGCGGGCGTACAGATTGACCGTTAGATGGCGGTAATGCGCCTGCGCCGTTAAAAAAAAAAAAAAAGCAAACAAAGAAGAAACTGAAATCGGTGGGCGGCACAAACAACCGCCGGCGATGTTAGCTAAAACAAATACGCTCTCTCGGCTGGAAATAACGTTTAACAGTTCACTAATTTCAACTTCAACTTGGGCGTGAACATGAGTTCGTTTGCGGGCCGAATGAAGGAGTATCCCACCGTTTCTCTGGACCGGTTCGACCGGGAGAACTTACTTTCCCGGGCATATTTCCTCTCCCACTGTCACAAAGGTGAGCCTGGCAGTTGACGTTAACTAACGTCGGCGTCACTTGAGTTACCTGGCGTTTGTGAGACTTTTAATGGCAGTCACAGAGGGCTTGTAACAACACCTGTCTTTACCTCCCTTGTCGCCTTTCAACAGATCACATGAAGGGACTGAAAGGACCGATACTGAAGAGAAAACTGGAGTTCAGGTGGAGATTGTTTTGGACCCAGTTCACATATTAAGGGCACTAATTGGCATAAATTACATAAAAGGCTATTTAAGATGTAGAAAACCCCTTAAAAAATAATTATAAATGTACTTTTTGTATTCTTTGTTTTTAGTTTTGGCACATTTGGATAAAATAATCCACTGTTTTTGTCAAAAATCAATAGAAATAAGCACTTTAAGAAACATTTTAATTTAGATTTTGATGATAAATCCCTTCCTCTGTACTGTAATATAGATTAATAACCTGTTAATAAAGATTACAAGTAAGCAAAAGTAATGATTTCACGACACATAAAACAAATTACAATGACCAAAAAAAGTTATTAAGACGCATAACTTGTATGACATGAGCTCAACTCATATAAATAAACCTAAACAGAGGACATAACACTTGTAATTTGCTCTTTTAGGGGCTGGAAGCAGCTGTTTAGTTCACTTATGCAGTAATACTCATACGCTAGCTTTGTCTGTGTGTGTGTCTGTCGGTCTGATTCTGTATATCCTTTTGTTTCCAGTCGCACAGTCAGGCTGTACTGCTCCTTTGTGACCAAGGAACTCCTGCTGAGCAATCCCAAGTACGCTTTCTGGGAGGAATACATTGTAAGTCGACTGAAAGGACATTAAATACCACAAATAAAGCCAATTAAGAGTAGATATATCTGCTTATTACGAAGCCCTTGGATGTTTGTACACTGTTGGATGTCATAGCTTTACAATGAGTGTTTTTCTTAAACTTGACGTCTTGGTTTTTACACAAAACATCATATGTTTCATGGTTGCTTTGCATTCTGGTATTCTGAGGCCAGTGAGGCTGTAATTGGTAGTCTGTTTTTAGTCCTTTTCTCTCCTCATGTTTGATCTGTTTTAGGTCCCCTTAGAGCTGGAGAGCCCAACGCAGATTTCTCTGGTTGATGAAACATCTGGAGAGGTAAAAACTGAAGATTTTAATAGTCAGTCCAGTCAGAAATGTAATTTTAGGTCAAAAGTTGTGTTGATTTAAAAAAAAAAAACATATTGTTTTGTGTTTGTTTGACAGAAAGAAGATCTCGTGGTCACGTTACTTACCGCAGGCCACTGTCCCGGCTCTGTAATGCAAGTCAAACTACTCTACCACTCTTCCTGATTTTTCTGTCTTTTTTTTGATAAAGGTTGACACAACACAACATGGAAGCAAAAGAACCACTCATAGCAGTAAAAACTAAATGTTTTAAGTCTATTTCCAAAGCTTTATTCCCCCTCAGACCTCCGGTAGTTTTTCATGATGCACTGAAGCCTGTTCACATTTCATTTCACCTGTAAGAGAGTTGACTCTTATTTGAAATGTGACAATTTAATGAGCTCCAATGTGCGTTAATCAACAAAAACACCCTTTCTGCAGTGGGAAGTACAGAAAAAAAAGTTTTATATTCTGAAAGCTGTTTTCAAAATTGAAGACATCTTAACATGAAAAATCAAAGTCTGGATATGTGGTGTGTTTGTGTGTAGGTTCCTGTTTGAGGGTTCCCAGGGAAACGTGTTGTATACAGGAGACTTCAGGTTGGCCGCCGGAGACGCCTCGAGGATAGAACATCTGCACTCGGGCAGCAGGTCGGTCCGAATGAACATCTTCACTGTTTTCTGTCTCATCAAAAGACATCAAGTTCTGGAGAACCAGAGAGTACCGTAAATGCTCAGGAATTTGGTAATTTATTCAGAAAAGTCACAGATTAGTAGTCTGATAAGGTATTTGCTGCTTTCAGCTCTTACGCTCAACAGCTTTCATTTGCTTTATCACAGTTTTAAATAACAGCTGATCCTGTGTTTCCCTGTTTCACATACAGAGTGAAGGATATTCAGAGTATTTATCTGGACTCCACTTTCTATGACCCACGATTCTACAAAATTCCTACTCGGGTACGTTTTTTTGGGAAGGGAACAGGATTTAATGGCTGTGGAATATCAAATGAAATTGATTCAGTAAATTCAGTAGCATGTGGTTGACTTTACAACTGGAGTGTAAACAAAAAGATGCCAAAATCCTCTGTTTCAGGCTCCTCAGATATGTGTTTTCCTGATTTTACTACAGTTGTAAATTAATATCTTTTGGACTGTTTATAGAATATAATATTAGTGTGTGTGTGTGTGTGTGTGTGCAGGAGGTCTGTCTGAACGGTATCTTGGAGCTTGTTGGAAACTGGATCAGTCAGAGTCCATATCATGTTGTGTGGCTCAACTGTAAAGCTGCGTATGGATACGAGTACCTGTTTACCAACCTGGGAGAGGAGTTCAACACACAGGTAATACACACGCTTCTCTACTATAATATATATATGTCCTTTCATGCACACATCCATACAGCATCTCCTGCTACAGGACAATCAAATGTTCACATATAATGTTTAATTATACTCTCAGATCCATGTCAGGAGTCTGGCGATGTTCAAGAAGATGCCAGAGATCCTGAGCTACGTGACGACTGACCGCAGGACACAGATCCATGCATGTCGACACCCTAAGGTCCCACTTTATGTCTCTCACACACACACACACACACACACACACACACACTGTGTTATTAATTTACCGTAAACTAATCTAGTCTATCCTAAAATTTGGCGAATTGTTGTAGACATTTTGGCTGAGATGGCTGCGCCTTCCTCTACAAGTTGTAGATTTTAGATTAGTTTCAGTATTATTGAGTTTCTTTGGTAACTTAAAATATAAATAATTTCTAATCCAGCTCTGAATTTATTCTTGTAACCAATAAGGGTATTGATGAGTCATATTATCATTAAAATCCAAACAGTGCCATCCCTATGGGGCTGTCATTGCATTTATTTTATTTAGATCCAAAAAAGCTTAAAATGTCGTATATTGTGTCAAGTTTGAGTATAAACTAAAGTGTCATTGTCCTTTGTCAGTTCACTCATTAAGCCCTGGTTTGTGTGTGTGTGCGCTCGTGAATTGTGTTTATGTGTGTAGGACGAGGAGTTTTTCCAAGGCAGCCGGCTGCCGTGTGGCTGCACAGCCTCTGACGGGACTCCTCTTCGCATCATTAGCATCAAACCGTCCACCATGTGGTTCGGAGAGAGAATGAGGAAAACCAACGTGATCATAAAGTAAGAGCAGGTTCAAACGTCTCGGGCTCTATTAAACTATTAAACATTTATTTTACCTGCTTGTTTTTTTGGTTCATGTGTGCTAAATATGTCTTTTTGTTGTTTTTCCAGAACAGGAGCGAGTTCCTACAGAGCCTGCTTCAGTTTCCACTCCTCCTACTCAGAGGTACTTCATTTATTTCATTTAAATGATTAAACCAGATTTATGTGACTGCGGTTAGACACTGACAGTGTAGTAATTTGTTACATAAATGAGTTTAATAAAAGCTTTTATTGAGAATCAGTTCTGCTACGGTTAGTTTATATACTTTAAATACATATATTGATACTCACAGTTCCTCTAATTTCAGCTTAAAGACTTTCTCTCGTACCTCCGGCCAGTCAACATCTACCCCAGCGTTATTCCTATTGGTCGGACACTGACCGAGGTTACACAGATGTGAGTCAAGTTTTATTAATTCTTGATTAATTTAGCTTGCAAGCAACATTTTCGCAAAGTTTTTCGTTTTCTTACTCTTATTTACTCCTCTAGCAAAACATGTTATGTTGACTATGAAGTCTTAAAGTTAACAGAAATTTAATCTGCAATTTATTTTTCAACCAAAGATATCAAATGTTCCCTTGTTTCAGCTTTTAAGTTTCACTACCTTTATCACTTAGTTGCAACCCTAATAGAGTAAATCCAACCAGATAGTTTATAATTTTTTATAGAAACATTATACAAGCCTTGTGCTGAGGGAGGATACATTTAAAAACATTAATAATAATAACATTTAATCTGTGATAGCACTGTTTTAAAATCCGTTGACGCTGTGTGTTTGAGCAGGTTGAAGCTGATGTGCAGGAACCAGTCGGATGGAGCAGCGTTCATATACAAACCCCTGGGAGTCCTCAAGCGCAGTAAGGTGGAGCGACATACATACGGTGAGACACAAACACACACACACACGTTACCACAACAGGTGGTCTGCGCTGTAACTCATCTGTAACTTCCTCCGTAGTTTTTTACAGGTCACCATGTGGAATCTGAAACATAAACTAGCTCAATCTTCTACTGTACTGTTTGTACATATTGTTTGCTAGGATTCATTTTCTGTTTAGAAGTTGGGAGTTCTTTTTTTTTGTTTTGGTGGGCAACAAAACAAAATTTAATTTGGAATTAAATAGAAGAAGCACTGTTTACATCATACACAGGTGGGCCAGGTACTGTGCCACACATTTGATATAAGGATGAGTTAATATCATTTATAAATTAATTAATATATTAGCTCCACCAGAGGGCGCACTCAGCCGGTTGGCAACAAACAAGGTCTCCTTAAGTCATACTTTTAGAGCAAAACAGTCTAGAACTGCAACGATTAATCGATTAGTTGTCAACTATTAAATTAGTCACCATCTATTTTGATTATTGATTCATTGTTTTGAGTCATTTTACCAGAGAAAATTCTCTGATTTCCGCCTCTGTTTGTTTTTTTTAGTCCTCTCTGACTGTAAACTGAATATCTTTTAGTTGTGGACAAAACAAGACATTTGAGGACGTCACCTTGGGCTTTTGGAAGCAGTGATCAACGTTTTTCACTATCTTCGCATATTTTATGGAACAGAAATTAGTTGTTAGTTGCAGCCCCAAAACAGTCCACAACCTCTTCGTGTATACACGGACAAACAGGGATCTAAGTTAGAGATGAACAAGCCCCCGATCTTCAAACAGACAAGCCACGATACACAGCTGAAGAGGCCTCACGTGCTTTTCAAGCCCCTCGATGCCTCTGAGGCTGGATCCCGCCCAGGTGATGGATAGCTCTGTACTCTACAGTAGGTCAACAGATGTCCGGCCGTCGTTGGTTTGATAAGCTATTGCATGGAAGTTAACGAAGCTGCAGAAGGGTTTGCATTCACAGTTTCACTTTCCGTCCTGGTGTTTCAGTTTTTGAAGCTCTGTTTTAACTTTGCCTGCTACCCTAGGTTGTATAATCCATACGTCTGTTTTCTGACTGGTTTGAGATTAATTCTGTGAGACTTTTTCAACTCGTTTTGATTACATGTTGTAATCATATTGTACATACCTGAGCTGTTTGAGTGTTTTTTCATTTGAATCCATAATAATACATTTTAAAAATATAACATTTAAGGTGTCCATAACTGTACTATATATACTAATAACTACAATAGCTACTTCCTATAGCTTTTTTAATTACATAAAGAAAAATTAATACCACAAAAATGATCACAATATACTACAGTGTTACACACAAACATCAAACAGTATGCACACACTTTTTAAAATCATATTTTTCATTAGATTTTTATTCAATATAGTGTGTGTTGCCTTTTCAGCACTTCCCAACAAGCTATGTTGGTTTGTCAGGACAATGTAAGTGAACAGGGAATACCAAGAACTCATTTCATTAGTTGGATTGCATTTTCTGGTATTTTGTGCCAGTGTTCAATTGCTGTAAACCAGATGCATACAACTTAAAGGTGAAATTGATTCAGATCAGGAGTATATTTAAGGTAGTAATTTCAGTTGTTCTGTAATTTCAATTGATATTTTAGAGGAAGATATTTAATAATCAGTATCCGCTCTGTATATTAACAAACCGCTTAATCACTTGTTAGCATGTCAGCATGGTGGTTCAGTTGTTAGTGCAGAATGTCCCGGGTGTGAGTTTCTGTGTGTTTGCATGTTCTCCCCGTGTTTTCCCCGGTGCCCTCGACCAAAGCACTGGCTGAGATGTAGAGCTGGTCCCCGGGGCACCGTACAGTAGCTGCCCACTGCTCGTAGTGCTGAGGATGGGTAGTTTATTTAATTAAAGTATTAACTGTCTCTTGTTCTCTGCTCAGATTCAGACAGTGATGACGAGCTGTTTGACGGGTTGGACCTGGAACCAGTGAGGAAGAAGATGGGGCTGAACCAAGAACTAAAAAACGGTGCATAAACATTCTAACTTCTCTTCATTTATTTCCTTTTAATTATTGTTTTTCTTTTACTTAATTGTTCATTTTCTTTTAACTTAGCGAACGCTGAGAGTCCTCAGAAAACAGCGCCCCCTGTGCCCGTGGAGGAGTCTTTACCTCTCGCGGTCACAGACGCGCAGCCTGTTGCACGCAACTTCGTGGACTGCACTGAGTCCAATGATGAAGAGGAAGATGAGGATCAGCAGGAGGAGGAGGAGAACGCGGAAAAGGGGGATACAAAGCTGACGAAGGAGGAGACTGGGGCGATAAAGGAAAGCGAGAGGAATAAAGAACCTGAGAAAAAGGACACTGAGGTACCTGGTTCCCCTAATCCTCCAAAATGGGAGGATTTCTTCACCACAGACACGCTGACAGACAGCCAGAACAGCCTCAACAGCCAATTACAATCCTGCTGCTCTGTCCCGAGCCCCGCCCCTTCCAGACTGACAGGTTCACAGACCCCGGAGCTGTTCAGCGACGAAGGAGAAACCCCCGACAACGACGAAAACTTCAGTCTCACCCTGTCTGCCTCTCTGTCAAATCATTCCTCCCAGAACCTGGACTCGTGTTTACCTGACACCTTGATTCTCCAACCAGAGCAGGGGGGGCGGGAACAAGGAGACAAGAGGCCCAGTACTGTGGCTCAGGAGGAGAGCAACGACCAGAAGGAGCTGTCGGAGTCTCAGGTGTCGTCGGATTACGATATTCCCTGCACGCCGGAGTCGAAAACGCCACGACCTGATGAATTGTCGCAGTTGTACAGGAAGCTGGCGTCAGGAGAGGATGTGATCAGAAAGCGAGACTGAAAGTAACGTTAAAGGGACGTTTTTGGTGAGCCACATTCCTTCTATTGGTCCACAGTAAGGTTAAAGGTTGTGGACAGGCCGATAATTAATGTCCTCGCAATACAAATGGGTACAACATGAAAGTGAGAGTCGCTCACTGTTCAGGCTGTGAGCTTTATAGTGAATGAGTCTCTGTTCTTCCAGACGTTCAGCTTGAATCTACGCAGCTTTGTACGTTATAGAGCTTCTATAATACCTCTCGTGCCTTTACAAGCTTCAGTCGAACCTCTAAACCACACAAACCTCACTTAACTACGTAAAGCAACAGAAACACACACACACGGTTCATTCCTATGCACTTTAAGTTCACCCGTGGCTCACATGTACCAATGCACCTGTGCACTTAACGGCTGACTCTCCCTCTTTGTTGGCAGTTTGTGGTTTGTTCTGCTTCTTCATTGTGAAGTGGATCAGTGTTTTTTGTCAAGCATTTTTGTATCGAAGCAGAACTTTTGTTTCAAATAAAAAAAGTTTTATTTCAACTGAACATTGTTGTTTAGCCTTTAAAGTGAAGATCAATGATTAGTTTGACTTTATACTAATAAAAAAACCTCTTTTTAGTCCCTCCAGGAAGCTGCAATGTTTGCAACCAAACACCATACCACTAAATAAGAAGCTATTTTACTCGCACAGGATGAATTGTACCAAAAAAGGCAATTTTAATTGGAATTTTCTCTTTCTCTCTCAGTTTTATTGGCAAAAATATCAAATATTTTAGAAAAGCTGCTGTGAATTCAGGCATTTTAGGCTGCAACAATCCTCCAAAAAAGCCCAAAGGACTAAAATATTCCTAAACCTCCAGAAACCCAAACACCCATTCAGGTCTGTGGTTGGATTTTTGAGGCCGACATGTATCAATATTTGAGTTAAACAATTTGGAAACCAATATATTGACCCACATTTAATTTAAACTATAAAACATTAGACTCTTTTGTCCAAAGCTATTTTTTTGAAAAAGATTCTTTAAATTTGTTAATACTAGTATTTACCAAGATATGTAAGTGGGTATTTTACAGTTGAAAAACATCATATATCTCAAATAATGTCTGTACAGCAGCTTCTTGTTATTGATCAGCCCCAGATGTGCCAATACCAATACAGTATATCGCATCTGCTAATATTGGCTACCTAATTAAGTCTCCAAAACTCAAATTATTCTGTTTAATATGACCTTAATCTTCTCCCACTAGTATTTGTTTTCATTATTTTTTCTTCTAACTAGTTAAAACAAATAATCAAACCTCATTTTGCCTATTTGTGACAAACAAAACATCACAGCAGCATTCAGAGAAATAGATTTTACTAAAAAATAACAAACATAAAGACACAAAAAAACAAAGATATTTACAGACACAGTGAATCCACCTGAGGAGATAATTACTGAAGCAGCACAAATGAACAAACAGCACATCATTTACTTAAAGGGGGGGGCTCTGTTTACAGGTGTTGGAGTACCACTGCTGTATACAGCCTTTCGAGTTGCACTGTGGGTAATGTAGGCGACAAGGAAGAAGAATAAAAAACGAAGACGTTGCTGGTTCTGCTGCGATTGATTTGGATCCTTTATTTATTTTAACTGTACGTTATCCAACAATGCTTAAATTGGTGGATTACTCTTTTAATTCACACAATTTATGAAAAACTGGTTCATTTTGGTTTTAAAGCAAGTTTGATTACATTGTTCTTACAAACAAAATCAACTTTCTTTAGTTTAGTTAAGTTATTGTTCCATTAAAAGTCATAAACCACTTCATTTTCATATTTTCCTTCCTCCATTTTTCACTCATATAATATGATGAGCCCAAAAATACATCCGTGTGGAGACAGTGGAATCGAGTGTGCAGAGATTCCCTGTGCTTCATTTATCCGGTATTTTTCATACAATAACTCAAGTGATTGTTAATCATGTAGAGCAGCAGACGAGGATCGGTGTGACTCGTGTCCTGATAATTGCTTTGCTACAACCTGAAGACTTTTGAGTTAAATTAGAGAGTATGGCTTATTTGGCTGAATTTAAACGGACTATTACTCACAAACTATTAAAGAAAATTTAAAATTAAGAAACACCCGAGCCGGCGTCAAATGCTTAGATGTGTGTCTCGATTTTGGCAACTTCCTCCAGCAGCAATCAGCACAATCCTGAGTTTTAACCCCTCTTCCTCCACTTATATCAGGTAGCCCACATGCATGTGAACGGCTTTACTTTTAGCAGCTTCCTAAGAAAACCTTGAGCTCGAAGGTTGAACACTACATACACTGCAGCTTTCATTTCTCATCCGTGTAAACGCCCTCGGGAGACTCACAAAGATTCACTTGACGTCATCTCGCTGCAGGAGCCATTTACTGTGCGGTCCTTGAGGGGCCGAGAGTCTGCAGGTTTTTCATTACAAGCGAAACCAAACTACAGGTGAGTTCCTGCCTTTTATTACTTTTATACTGTAAAGCTGTTTTTAAGAAGAAATAAAGCAAGATGTCCCTCACGTAGCTTGCTTAAAATTGATCTTAGGACATATATAGGACATGATAGTTGACCTAAATGAGAGTTTAAATCATATTGTTGGCTATAAATCCTTATTTTTATTGTCAGCAAATCATATTAAAAGACCAAAACCAGCAACAAAACAATGATCTGTCTCTCGAGGACTCTCAGGGATGTAAATCTTTTAAAAAAGGGTAAAAAATATATGATTTAATAAAGAAAAATGTCTCTGGAGTTTCCTAAAACAGCTGGTAACTAGTTTTTAGCAAACATTACTCAAATAAGGGGAAAAAGCACATTTGCTAGGGACTATTTGAAGCAGCGGATGAATCCACATTTGGTGCTCTAGTGAGTATTTGGGGCAGGAGGACAAAATAAACAACTGTGTGTTGTGCTTTGGATTAATGCATATTAGTTGCATCAGTGTATTGTTGGTTTTGGTATTTTTATGGGATTTGTTGACTGAAGATCACCGGATTTACCATTTTAATGTATTTTTACATGTAGTCCTGTTTAATATTCACCCTTTTTCAGACCTTAAATTAACAACAAGGAGAGCTTACAGCACTGCTTCGGCCTCTCACTCAGCCATTCTGTGCTAATCAGCTGATAGGCATTCACTGTAACACCTGCTGCTGGCACTTCATTAAGCAGCTACACAACATGCAGCATGCCACGAAAAAAAAGGCCAAATCGAGTGGCGCCCCAGTGGAATCCATCGTGGGTTGGAGATGGTTCACGAGTCCACGTTTGACATCTGCTTCCACAAGAAGCACAAAAAAGTCTGAAAGCAGCCGGTCGACACAACAAGGTCAGTCAGAACCTGTAAAGTCCTTACAGGGGGACGCTGGGAGGGAAGATTGGCTCCACCGGGTGCTGCTGTTTTCCCATTTGAGATTTGGTTGGGTTCCTGATGACAACACTGTGGACCTGAAGACCACCTGGAGGGCTTCTTCTTCCTCTTCTTCTCACTGGACATACTCCCTCCTGCCGTATCATTCCTCTGTAGCACCTTAAGTAAGTAAGTGAGGTTAGTTTCCAAGGAATATTTGCATTTAACTGATTAAAACTGACACATAAGCGCATTAAAAAAGCACATTTTTTATCAGTGTGGTATCAAAACTGACTTCAACTTGCTTTTGAGGGATTTTTAGAGGCTGGAAAAAGTAGTACTTCACAATAAAAAGCTAAATGTAGAGAAAATACACAAATATTATGTATCTGGAATGAAAACCATTAAAAACAAAGCAATTTTATTTTCCAGATACATATATTAAAACATGTTTGCTTTAAAGATATATACGACTTATATATATATTCTTTTTAAATGCTAAAATGACATCATAGCTCTCGTTAATGAAAAAAGGCAGGAGGGAAGCTGAAGGAGGTCGTGACACGCACAGAAACAAGCACAGACCTGGCTATTCATTAAAAATTAGAGTCCGTTCCCCCACAGCGGCTTCCTGAGGGAGTCTCTCTCATTCTCTGTGGAGGACAGTTTCATTAATTAACACACACACACACACACACACATCAACAATTTTATTAAACTAACTTAAAGCACAAACAACTAAAATAAAACTCATAAAATGTACATATACACGCACATGTTAGGGTCACAAAACACACAAACACATGCAGTGATCGTCAGTGTTTTCTCTCTCCCATGCTCTCCTGACCCAGGAGACGCAACAGGAAATTGTGTGTGTGTGTGTGTGTGTGTGTGTGTGTGTGTGTGTGTGTGTGTGTGTGTGTGTGGGAGGTTATTAGGAATTGGATATGTATACTCGCACGTAAGCATGCTGCCTCACACCAAATGATGCCAATTTGTCCCAGTGGCCATTAATGGTACTGCAACATTAAAAAAAGTTTCACCCCCCCATTTATAACTATTATGAAACAGACTGTTTATCTGTTTATTGTGGATATTTATTGTGGATAACTATTATTATTAGCTGACTCTCTGAACCGAGACCAGGACTGAAAGCAGCGTCCAGTGCTGACGATAAAGTACCAGGATGTCGAATTATCGAATTTTCGTATAAAAATACAAAGAAATTTAGTTTTTGTACGTTTTTTGGCATATATTGTTAAATAGTGGTACAATATAACCGAGGCTGCGATCTTTAAGGGTTAAAATTACATTTATCATTTCACCTACTGAAATATATGGTCAACTAATTGTTCATTTTGCATTTGTTTTAGTTATATATTAGGTATTTTAGATTATTACTGTATCTTATTTAAACTGCATTGAGATTAAGGCATTATAATTATTAATAATTGTAGTTATAGTTATACACTCTTCATTGAACTTCATTCATTCTAAGTACGAGAAAGTTGGTGACAAATCTTCTTAAATCACTTGTATGTGAGTATTTTCATTTGTACTTTGAGCTGATGTTTGCTCTTCAGGTCTGGACTGGACAATATTTAGATTTGTTTGTTTTATTTTCTGTCAATTTTTTGTTCTTTGACCAGTTAGTGTGTGCAAAAGTGTAATAATATGTAAATGTTAACATAAAAACTGAGGGTGAAGACGTAGGTTTGGGGTTAGCGGTTGGGTGTTAGGGTTAGGAAATTAATGAAAATCAATGTAATGTGTTTTGAAGTGATGGAAACGTGTGTGTGTGTGTGTGTGTGTGTGTGTGTGTGTGTGTGTGTGTGTGTGTGTGTGTGTGTGTGGCGTGTGCTGTGTGTGCGTCTACCTCTGAGTGATCCTATCTGTACTTGAGGAATGTTGCTCAGGTCTGCAGGAAAACCCACATACACACCTCCATAGTTCCTACATACACACAAACACACATCAGCTAACACACACAGGCACAAATGTCATTCAGGTTTATAAATATATTCTATGATAGTAACATATATATATGATATATATGTATATATAGATATAGACAGTATATGTGTGCAGTGAATATCTATGAAGTGACTCACTGCCATTTGTCGTCTTCTGGCACAGACTCCTCTGATCTGTCAACACACACACACACACACACACACACACACACACATTAAAACCCACTGAAAACATCAGAGAAAGGTCAAACAACACTGACATGTTCTAATATCAGACTGTGTGTGTGTGTGTGTGTGTGTGTGTGTGTGTGTGTGTGTGTGTGTGTGTGTGTGTGTGTGTGTGTGTGTGTGTGTTAAAGGTGTAAATTAACTTACACCTTTGATGAAGACTCAGCGCGACCTGAGGTCACAAACAGAGAGAGGAATGAGATCAATCGGCGGCAAATTGCTTTAAAATGACTTTATTGACTCTGTTAAACTAATAATCTGTAACATTCATCTTTATAAATGTCTCCTGCTATCGTCCAAACGCTGGCTGCTGTAACACAACAGTAGTACAGACAAGAAACAATAAAAAAACAGAAACCTAATGAATATACCAGTGTGAAGTGTTGTATTTTTTTACTCCGTTACATTATCTGGCAGCTTTAGTTACTTTACAAATTGAGAATTTTGCACAAAACACATTAAACAAAAAATAATTGGCAACTGTTTTGACTGTTTTGTTTTTTTTTCATGCAAATTTATGTTAATTTTAATAATTTTGAGAATTGAACTGTTGAAATTGTCACTTTGGTTAATTGTGACAACATTTCTCACTATTTTTTAGCTTTATTTTACAAACTTACTCATTATAAACTAACTAACTAACTAAAGCTATCAGACAAATGTAGTGGGCGTTAAAATGTACAGTATTTGCCTCTGAGATGTAGAAAAGTTACATAAAATGGAAATATTCAAGTAAAGTACCTCAAAGTACTTAACGAGGGACACTAGCAGTCGGCTAGGGCCACGAAAGGTTACACTGACATAAATATGTAATATATGTGTCAGGATATTAGACTCTTATTATTTTCTTTAGTCACTTTAAAATACAGTCTTGCAAATAATCCAGGTCCAAAGTACAACAAGTGTTTTAAAAGCAGTGTGGCAGTCCAGCAATGCAGTAAACCTCTAAATACTTAATGCTGAAAATGTTATTGTAAGGGTGTAACAAGCAGAAATAGTCCTTTTTTGTTTTAATTTAGGCAGCCCATCCCCTAAAAGAATACACTGTAAACACATAAACATATGAAGAACGTCCACTTTATGTGTTTACCTGCAACATAATCTATAAAAGCAATGACTGGCTGGGCCTTAAACAGCATTATATGACAGAAAAAGTTGCTAAAATAACCTAAAAAAACGCATAAATAGAGAGAGAAGAGACTTTAATTATGTTATATTATCTACTATTATCTCTCAAAAATGTGTGTTTCTCACCTGCAGTGCTGCTGCTGTTGTTGTTGGTGGCGGTCGTTGGGGAGGAATTTCCACATCCCATCTCTCATCTGACTCTATAAAGAAAAACCTCAGAGGGAGGAGAAGGAAATAACGAGAGAGAGAAAGAAGGAGTGACAGGTACGAAGAAATAAGGAGAAAATTGTCCTTTCCGTATTCCTTTTTCTCTTTCTACCCTGCTCTCCACTCTGTGGGTATCTACTGTACCTCTCAGCATGGAGGGAGGATTAAAATGACGCCAAGAAGAGAGAGGAGGAGAGGGAGGAGGAAGAGAGAGAGAGGAAAGCAAAGTGTGTTCACTCATGCTGTTGAGGGAGCAGAGCCTCTTCTCTCTGTGTGTGTGTGTGTGTGTGTGTGTGTGTGTGTGTGTGTGTGTGTGTGTGTGTGTGTGTGTGTGTGTGTGTGTGTGTGTGTGTGTGTGTGTGTGTGTGTCTCGTGCTTTGAAATCTCGGCACAATCTGAAGAAAGTAGATCAAAGTCCGCTAGAATCGATTTAATTGGAGCATTTTTTTTTGCCCAAATCCAGCAGAAGTGGATTTGAGTGGGATTAGGGGAGAGAGAGGGAGAAGGGAAGGAGGGCAGAGGAACTGTTTTGGGGTTTTTTAGTGTTTTTTTTGTTTGTTTGTTTTTTAAATGTGCAGTAGAGCTGAAGAAAAACAAACTTCAGAATCTGAATCAGCTTTATTGGTCAAGTATGTGTGCACAAACAAGGAATTTGACTCTCTCAGTGTTGCACATAGCAGGAATAAAAGAAACAAGGACAACAAAACTCAACAAAGATAAGTAGAAAACTATTAAATACATACAAGTATGTGAAAGAATACATACAGGATGAATATATATGTATAAAACAACAGTTTTAGTTAGTTTAGTGAGTTATTGATACTATATGACTGATAACGAAACTGTTCTACCAACACAAATGTACGTCTCACAGACAAAACATTTCAACTTTTAACTTTAGGTTAACAGATATTGTGAGAAGTTTATGCTTTTTTGATTCCAGTTATGCATGCATACAGTGTATTAAGTGTTTGTTTGTCTACAATTGCACACGTTTCTGGAAAGTTTCCTGCAGCCTGGTGTAAGAATTTGGTGTTTTTGTTCAGAATGTGCCACAAAAAAATCAAACTCAAGTAAAAAGAAGTGGAAAACTGTTAAAACACAGAAATTGTACATCAAATCATGTAATTTTATTATTTATTTATTATTATTATTCCTATTATGATTATTATGATTTTGTTTTTCTTTGTCCCGTTTCTTGTGTGTGCTGTTGTGTCTATATGGACCTATAAGCTGTTTTCCAAAGTAAAATAATGCTGTTTTTAATGTTAGAGCACCTTGGTGTCTTATTCCATGGTCAGTTTTGCTAGAAATGTTTTCTTTTCCAATGTATAACTTTATTGTTTGACATAAAATATCACATAATTTCTGCTTCTGTCCAAAAAGAAAGTTTCTGTTATTACAAACTTTACTGTAGGTGTCCCTGTTTTCTGTGTCTTGGTGTATATTAATAGTGCGAGACACGTGATTAACAGGACGCAAAAAATACTGTACTTTATGTTATGTCAGCCAGACTCTGCTGACAGTAAAGTTTTGGTTTCTGTCTCTAGATCAATAAGCAGACCACCAGCTATAGGAAGACTACAATTAGAGTAACATCACCAGGCAACTTCCCCAAATCCTGTGAGAACACAAATTCCCTCGTGTGACTGAACCCGAAGAGACAGAGAGAGATGGATGTTCAGCAATTAACAATTGGCTCATTTATGCTGCAGTTTGCACTTAAAAGGGGGAGAAACTGAAGAGAAAATACAGATTGGTCAGTATTTTAGTGAGTGAAAAGAGTCAGTATGTTGTTTATAACACTATTATTAGAAACACATATTATCAGAGGTGGCAAAAGAACACACATTCTTTACTCAAGTAAAAGTAAACAAGTATTCTTTCTCTGAAGGACATTTCTACTGGCGGTTTCTGTGCAAAACTAACTGATGTAGTCTCTAGTTTTTCATCTTGTTACGCCTGGTTTTGATGCTGGGAAGACGTGCAGTGATGCAAAATAATAGTAATAATAGTTAATGATTCCCCTCAAGTGCATTAAAACTAAAGAAATTAGCCTGTTTTGAAAATTTAAGGAGTAGAAAGTACAGATATTTGTGTAAAAATGAAGGGAGTAAAAGATAAAGAAAAATAAATACAGATACCTGAAACTACCTCTGCTCACTATAAAATATTCTTTATATATATATATCAGTGAAAAGCCGATACAGGAACCATATTATTGACTCACAGATGGGCTCTAACTGGCTTTAAGTTGTACACTAAAGGTGAAGAAACTGTACGTACTGTTTCCTTAAACGTTCTCCTCAAAGCAAACATATTAGGGTGGGATTGATTGTCATCGTTCACTGGCAGACGTGGGAAGTCAGAAGTTGGAAACACATCATTATCGAGCTCTGTACAAAAGAAAAAAAACCTGACGCCTCCAGTGAAGTGATTGTTTGTTTGGCTCCTCACACACATTTTTTTTTTAATTGTACATATTGAGCCAGCTGATTTTTTTTACTGTGCTGGTATAATGATTTATAAATAAACATGCTGAAAATCTCAAAGAAAAGTGTTAGGATCTGTAATTGGCTCCAACAAGACTGGATGTGTTTCCTAACAGGAGAGCCTTCAAAGTTTCATTTTTGGTTGACAACAGACAACATGAACCACAAAAGGCCGGACATGCTCAGAATGACACCTTTTGGACTGGAAACACAAAGTTAAAGCTGCATTAACTGATTTATTAGGCCACTTTAGGGCAAGTGGAAACTCTTTTAGCTCTGTTTTTGGTCTCCACCAACTCCTGTGGGGGATTATCTGCCTCTTTAACTGCTAAACGCTCCACTGTGTTTAGCAGCTCGTTGCTAACTCTGCCATTTTTAGAGCTGAAAAACAAAACTGCCTGCTGTGGCTGAAAACAACACAATTAAGAGCTGTGAAAGTGAACCTCAACAGTATATAGCTGAACAACTAGCTAAAAAACAACATCTTTGGTGACCCATTTTCTGATGTTTCCTGTGTTTACGATGTAAGAGCGGGTAAAAAAACAGGATCATATTTATCTTTCTTGTTTTTTTGTTGTATTACTCATTTCACATACACCACTAAACCCCCATGTTCTAGGACCGAACAGGTGAGTTTTAATGTCTCCATCCGCTCTAAACACAAGTTATGTAGAATGACTGACATTATTCTTTTTGCTGGAAATGTATTTTAAGACGAATTATTTGATTTTAGAGCAGTGCTGCTTTTTTTGTGAGGCACAAAATGCTCTTTAAATATGTAGAATTCCTAATTATTTTTCATAATCTGAGCACTGCGGGCAGTTCTTGGTACCATTTTGCATCTTAACAATACAAGAGGTGTTTGCTTTTAGCCCGTCAACCACCGTTAAGTTTCAGTTTTGGCCCTCCTGAGGGTAAAAAGGCTGGGCACCCCCTGATTTAGAGCATGCAGTAGTGGAGTGCTTCAGCTTCTTGTGGTTGAAATTAGTATTACAACAACAAACACCATGAAAAAAAAACTGTCTATGATTGCTTGCCAGTAAACTCATGGGTGAGCTGTGGTGGAAAATGTTGATTAAAATGCAGATTTTTGTGAAGTTTGAAGCTTGATAACACATCTCTGCTCTTAACTCTCACTTTATTGCTTAAAATCAAAGGTTTTTTGTGCATAATCTCCAGGATTTAAAGCTAATAAAAATAGCTTCCTATCTATATTAATACGTGTCCCAAACCTTTTTTTAAAAATCACGATAAAGCATAAAATTAAAAATGACATAAATTACCTAATTCTGGTGATTTATTTGTGTATCTGCTCCAGTTTTTCATGAACTTTGAAGGATAATCTTATTATTTTGAAACAGTGACACTGCCCAAACACACGTTACAAAGCACTTTACATGCAGAAGAAAGGTTGAAGAGACAGAAAGCAATACGTAGAACAAGCAAGAGAACAAATTAGTGCATATATTATTGTCAGTAGACCACATTTTTCCTCCAGTGGGATAAAAAAATATCCGGTTTCCTGTGATAAGATGAATTAAATGTAGGTTTACTTTTTGTTATATTCCCCCGAGAGAATCCTCAAAAACAGCAAGATAGGAGGAAAAATTGGAGATTTTGGGGGAACTGTAATAAAATCAGAGAGGTTATAACCAAAAAAAGATGTGTTAGTCACTACAGTGCATTATTTTTTTAATTTAATTTGTGCAGAAGCCACTTTCAGCAGATTCTCAGCCGTGATTGGTCGATGATTCAGACTCTGTTCCTCCGTTAAGTCTCAAAGTACTTTTTCTATTTCACCATCCTTCAAACTTAAAATGACTCATGCCCACCCACACATATGCATGACACACACATGAACACACACACACACACACACACACACACACACACACACACACACACACGGCTAACAACAACTGCCCTCTCGGCTAAATTCACCTCAATTACAGGGTAAAGCAAAGTGGCTTTCAGAATATAATTGATTGTTCTCAGCGTTTCCAGCAGGAAGTGAAAATGACTTCTGGCCACATGCTGAGGATTTTTCATCAAACGCTGTTTCGGTGGTGCTGAGCCGCCACAGAAAAGAACAGAACAAAACAGAGGTTTTAAATGACACCTCTGCTGTTTGTTCAGTGGTTTCAATTAGAAAAGATTCAATAAGGAGTAAGTGAAAGGTCCTAACTACACATCTTCATATTGTTCTTATTAGTATTTGAACAACTCACAGGGTTGTGTTGCTTTTCGTTTTTGACACATTTAGACTTTTTAACCCAAAAATATTCACCTTTTCTCTCTAATCTTGGTTCATTTACATGCAGCATATGAATATATATATACAGAGAGCAGTGGTGGAAGAAGTATTCAGCTCCTTTATTTGAGTAGCAATATCAAACTGTGAAAATACCCCTAATACAAGTGAAAGTCCTGCAGTCAAAACCTTACTGAAGTAGAATGAAAGGTACTAATTCTGCAGTAAAATGGCCCCTGTTCAGGTTTTACTATTATATATATATTATATATAATATTACTGTTGTAGATGATTAAGCTTGTGCTACTTTTAACTGTGCATGCATCATATTCTATAAGATCATCATATGTAACAGCCCTGCTTCTCAGATTTGTGCATTTCTACAGCTAATTCAAGAGCACTTGAATTCACTTAAGCACTTGAGTAAATGTGTCTCACAGTGGGGGAGCTCGGTTTGTAAAGCTAATGTTATTATGAAAGAAGTAGGTAAAGAATAAGAGTGAAATGAAGAGAAAGGGCTAGAAAACATGAGGAACAATTTGTTTGGAGCTGTAGTTCCTCACTGACAGCACAGAGAGGCAGTGTCGTCATACATTTATCTCTACACACTGTTCCTCACTGGCTGTTTATCTTGAGTTGGAGGGCAGAAATAACAGTTCTCAAACCACTAAAAGCAAACATTACATCCTCTTACGCTGTGCAGCACTTCATCTGTCCCGTTGCTTAATGCAGAGTTTAATGAGTTGTTGTCATTTAAGTCATATTTCAAGCAAAACACGCTGAACATTTGTTGGTATTTATGTATTTTTTTAATGTGATAAATAAAAGCCCATATTTTCTAAGCATATTTAAGTTTAGCTGATATTATAAGTAACACAACAATGCACAATCACCTGTCAAAAAACAGAAATATACCTGTATTCAAGCACTTATAAACAATAGAAACATACTCCACATATAATACACTAAACTGAAATAATACTGGCCTTCTTATATAACGTGATAACAACATAAACCTTTTACCGTATATGTAATTATGTGGCTATTACACTATATATATATATTTATTTAATTACATAACTGTCACACACCAGTCTTCTCCTGTATCTGTGGCTCTATCCACCCTTCATACAGCTGCTCATCCTTACAGTGGTACTTTCCACCCACCATACAACGCGCACTTCCACAAGAAAACTCCCTCTGACTCTTTACGCTTCATACTCACACACACACTCTCACACACGCTCAAACACACACACTCTCTCTCAGCTGCAGGACCATAAACATCATCGATTAGACCTGCTGTCAATGCTCCACACTTGGATATGTCGCTCATAATCCACATTATAACGACTTTGGGTGAGTTTTTTGTTTTTATTTTGAAATGTTTTCCATGTAAAAATGTTTTTTTGTATCTTCTGTGGCTGCCAAATTCTTCCTTCTCAGGTCTCCAGCAACAACACATGTAATGAAAGCCACATGGAAACCATTATTCACTCCTTTATTCACATTTTCCTGCAAATTATATTGGGTTTAAAAAAGAAATAAAATATAAGAAAAAGAAGAAAGCTGCCGCAGGAAAGTTTGACAGCTAACTTTGTGCACAGCCTACAGGGAGAATCCATGTGATTTTAATTTAAACTGGCCTGCTTTCCTTCAGAGTTTTATAATTCAAATGAAAAGAAGAACTGTTCTGAGGGAGGATTATCTGTTTTATTTGTGTTTAAAAACACACACACAATCCGGTTCTGGCTGATCCAGGATCACGTTTTAGGACTTTGTGCGTCCTCTCACTGACTGACAGCGGTGTGTTTTCCTTCCTCCAGCAGCCCTGTGGTGTCGGGTCGGGGCACAGCTGCCAGAGTTTGGGGATGTCTGCACCGAAGGCAGCTGCTACCCGGCCACAGGTGACCTGCTGATCGGCCGGGCGCACAAGCTCACCGCCTCCTCCACCTGCGGCCTGAGGCAGCCGGAGCGCTTCTGCATCGTCGGACATCTGGAGGTAAGAAAAGAGCTGCTGCTGCCAACCTGGAGCAACAGGCAGAAAATAAAACTGTCTGAGATTGTTGGCCAGTAAACTAATGGGTGAGCTGTGGAGGAAAATGTTGATTAAAACGCAGATTTTTGTGAAATCTGAAGCTTTATATCACATTTCTGCTCTTAACTATCACTTTATTGCTTGAAATCAAAGGTTTTTGTGCATAATAAAGCTAATAAAAGAAGTTTTCTATCTATATAAATACAATCATGATAAAGCACAATATTAAAATAACATAAATTACTTCTTAGTTCTCAGAAGTTATTACTTACTTCTGGTGATTTATTTGTGTATCTGCTCCAGTATTCCGTGAGCTTGGAAGGATAATCTTATTATTTAACACACATAGCAAAGCACTTTATATGCAGAAGAAAGATTGAAGAGACAGAAAACAACATGTAGAACAAGCAAGAGAACAAATAAGTGCATATATTATTGTCAGTACACCACATTTTTCCTCCAATGGGATGAAGAAACCTCCATTACACACATACACTACATGCATTCCTTCACACATACCGTAGGAAATGCATCAGACCTCATTATAAGGCAGAGAAAGACTCTACTTGAGCAAAACATTATAAAAACAGTTGCACGTGATTAGATTTAAAAGGCATTAAAGAAAGAAAATGTAAGAATGATGATGAGATTAGACTTTAAAACCAACATTAATCAACTGCTGCAACATTTCAAATTGACATTTTAATTTAAAATAATGTAAGAAGTTTCAGTCCACACTCATTAAAGGTCTGAAAACAACTAATCTTTACTAACTTAAACAGTAAATAGTGACAATCAGACCTTCATACAGATAGTTCAGTGTTTAAATTTGCTTATATTTGTTTAAAAGTGCGTCTGTATCCGTTTCCTGATGCAATTATGAGCTCTGTGTGTAAACATATTGAAAACTGCTGAGAAACTGGAGTCAAATAATGTTTTTAATTAATTATATATTAACAATATCAGCCAGGCTGGAGACATAACAATGCATAATAATTACCCTCCTGGCCAAGAGCATAGTATTTGGAACAAATAGCCTAAATCATGTAAGAAATGATTTGTATGTTGTCGAATTTGTTGTCACTTGGTTGGAATAAATAACAGAAAGTGGGTCAGTTCGCTCATCTTTGCAGAATTCATTAAAGTAATATAAAATGTAGAAGTACTCCCGGCCTTGTACGTGTCATTTTTAATGGCAGTAACTTACTGCTTATGAATTCTTGGTCGGTTGATGTTTCCCTTGTTATGTTTAAGAGTCCATCAAGCTGACATTGGTATGATTATAGTGGAAGCTGATTTAAAACATGATGAAAATCAACTTTATGTTACTAAGCTGTAACTAATTATTATTCTTTTGTCCATAATTGACTTTAAAATGTCACAAAATGAATCATAAATTCCCAAAACCCAATGCGACATCTTCAAATTCTTGTTTTTGTCTGATCAACACTCCAAAAACCCTAAAGCTGTGTAGTTTATTGACTTATAAAATAAAGAAAATGGAGCAAAATCCTCACATTTAAGAGGCTTTTTTTGCATTTTTCCTTTAAAAAATGACTTGTTTAGTTTAGATTAACTGTCTCTCAGTCAGCTTTAACCAACTGACAGATAGTTTCAGCTCCTCAGATAACATTGTGTGCGTGTGTGACAGCACGCACATGTACAGTATCTGCTCGCCGTCTTGTCGAGTGGGAGTTCAGACATTCCTCTCCACAATAAAAGCGCTGTGTGTCTGACAATCCCTTCCCTGTGTGCATGTGGTCAGGGGGCGAGGTAGGGGGATATTCTCCCTTTATCAAACACCCTTCGGGGAGTTCGCTGTGTGAATGGTGTCCTTATGACACACTGTGGGGCCTCTCGGAGCTTCCTGAGGATGAGCACAACCCTCAAGTATGAGCTGCAGATGAGGAGGAGGAAGTTGAGCCTCAAGTAGCCGACATTTTTTTCCTACCAAACTCTGCTAAGTGGAACCACTCAGCCAGACTCTGCTCACATTTCAACACAGACATAGTTGGCAGGGGCTCGGTGAAATTGAGAAACTTGTGTTGTTTGTTCACACGCTGCAATACTGTGAGATTTAAGAGTGTGTGTACGTGTGTGAACCAGAGTATATATTGCGTGCATGCCAAACCATCTGGCGTGCAGGCGAGGCCCCCGCTGCTGACAAACATAGTAAATACATTATTAAACAGACACAGCACAGACGTAGATAAACTGGCAACATGATATATACTATACATTGTTAATGTGGACATCTTAAAACCCATATGTGATTAATCCATGGCCATTAATCTGCTGCTATAACATCCTCTTCTGGGAAGGATTTCCACAATAGTTTGGAAACTGGCTGCAGAGACTTTTTTTCCCATTTAACCACATTAGTTAGGTCCAAAGATGAGTTTTCCTTTTATTTTTAGAAACTTTTTATACAATTCTGTCTGTTTTGTGTATTGTTACAAACTTAATAGGCTTATTTATAACATATTAAGTGTTTTATTTTTCCTGCTGCTTGACAATTGTCCTGTTAGTTCTTTGGTTGTTTTAATTTTTCTGATGCGTGACGAGGCTGTTTAAACAGAGAGTGAACACTCAGGACTTCACCGTGCCCTTATTATGTGATATTTTATTTACTTTATGTCTTAAATAATAATCTAAACTTTTACTTTTACTTTAAAATATTACTTTAATTTTGTTTTCTTCATTAAAAAAAATGAATGACATGCTACCATATGAACATACTTCATATTTTCGACCCTTAACATCAAGAGAGAGGTCTTGACCCCCGGTGAAGCTTTGGCAACCACTAGTGGTAATCGGGACCCCCAGTTTCAAGGGGCCAAACCATTGTCACTACGCCATTAAACGTTACAGTTATCATTAGAGCTGAAACAACTGGCCCATGAATCAATTAGTGGATCAATGTAAAATTCAAAAAATCCCCATTTTTGCTGCTTTTCTTTGCCTTCTATGATCAAAAAAATGAATATATTTTTTGTTTTGGATTGTTTTTTGGACAAAAAAAGCAATATGAAGACGTCACCTTGGGCTCTGGGAAATAGTGATGGGCAAGAGAGTATAAAATAATAGAAATAATCATTATTTGTAGCCGTAGTTGGCATGCAATCAGTTAGTTATCTTACACATGTAGATTCATACATCAGACTGTCAGATAGGGGAGCTTAATTAATCAAAAAGTCTTTGCCTTTAAAGGATTCCTTGACTTTAAAGTCAATATGAAAACTGTTGATATCCTGTTTGACGGATTAATCAGACAGTGGTATCTTCAGAAATCTCAGACATATCACCTGGGTTCACCTGGCAGGTTCTAGAGAATATATGTGTTTTTGTAATATGGGTGAAGTGACTCTCTGTGCTTTCTGTCAATCAGGAGGAGAAGAAATGTTTTGTGTGCGACTCCAGGGAGATGTACGACGAGGACGTCAACCACATCAGCCACACCATCGAGAACGTGGTCACCACCTTCGCCCACAACCGCCTCAAGACCTGGTGGCAGTCGGAGAACGGTGAGAGCCAAAAAAAAAAAACAAGAAAGAAAAAAACAAAGTGTTTGTTCTTGAAAGAAAGAGAGAATTCCCGTTCATTGCTGGTTTGTAATCAATGAAGAGCAGCGCAGCGTGTGAGCTCTCACTGACACTGTTCTCATGGGAACTGGGCTCACTAATGACTAGACAGGAGGAGATCACAGAGACTCTCGCTGCAGCCAATCACAGCAGGCCTGTTTGGAGGGGGGGGCTACAGGTGTGCTGAGGAGAACAGGTGTGCGGATAGTAAACAGATGTGTGTCATCGCTTGAGCACACACGGGCCTTTTAAAGTGGTAAAAAAAGGGAAGTGTGTAATGAGACAGTGGGAGTTCAGAGGAATCTGCAGTGAGAATGAGAAACAGTACATGCACCTTGAAACCAGGTGTGTTCAAGTATGAGCAGAAAACTCTCCAGAAAGACAATAAAATTATTAATTCTTTCCATATGAGACTCACTGCAACATGAGATGCCATATTAATGGCACTGTTTTTGTGAAGAAGCCGACCATTTAGGAGATGCTAGTGCGAGTTCAATTGCAAGCTGATTTAAATAGAACAAACCCAGTTATCACCAAAATTATTTACACAAAATAAATATATGCACTTAGATGCAGTCCACCTGTAGCTTAGTATGTTTCCAAATATGTAGAAAAATGTTCGTATTTGGATTTTATAGACCAGCAGCCCACATTGGTAAAATAAAAAAGGACCTTTAAAGACTAAAACTTTAAAAAAAACAGTGAATGAAATGCTTTTCTGTTGTTGCTTTATTTGGTTGCTTGTTTTACCTGTTACAACAATCAATTGAACACTGACGCTAGAAACGCTCATCTGCCTGATTAACAGCACACATCTCAATTACATGACTTAAAAATTGGTGGACAATCACCATCACAACATCCTAAATATGAGCCCTGAATGAAATCCCATAACAGTCAGTCCCCGTACAGACTCGGCCCTCATTCATGCTGCACACATGCACACACTGTTCCTTCACGAGTGGTGGGAATCTGTTAGAGGCGTGAGTCATGGAGGGAGCGGCGGCCAGCAGTGCAGATGGCTTTGGAAACTAGCAGGAAGCTGCAGACATACAATGGCTTTGCTTGGGATTTCCTAATTCCCTCGCAGTAGTCCTCCAGTTCCATCTTGGCTTTCCAAGCCACCAGCTGTATGGGGCCATTATTGTAGCAAAACTATTTACAAATGTGAGTGGAGAGTTGTGTAACTGGACCACAATCCGTGTGTGCGTAATCAGATTGGCAAAGGGTCTCTAAACACGTATTCAGAAGCCTTTTGACTTTGTGATGTGTAGAAAAAGCTATAAACATACATATTAATGGCGAAAGACAAGGCATCAGTTATAACTCAGGTGGGCCTTTCAGTTGTCTTTTTACACCTGACTTTTGCTACACTTCTGTGGGAGAGATCTGCAAATGTGTGTGATGATTTATCAGTCGCTATAAAGCCTACATACCACCAGTCGGCGCTAGTACCCAGTGAGTTTGAGCGTAACATTGCCGGGTCGGGTGTGTCCATCGTTTTTCCAACATACTTTAGATGAAACCAGGAAAATAGAAATATGCAGCACTGGATTGGATGAATTTCCTGTTTGTCAGACCACAAATGAGACAGATTTTGGTGAAACTTGATAATATTTTATGGAGAAAATACGTCAATATATGTCTTCTGAGTGCTCTAAACTCTTGGCGATTTGTTTCCTGCTGGACAGATAACGTTACTAAAGTGTGCAGCTAGTTTACTGTAGCGATTAAACACAGCCGCGCAGAGACTGAACAGCCTCCAAGACCGATGGAGACCAGTCTGGTTACCATGCCAGCGCTAGCATGGCTCACAAAGCTGTCATACCTACATTTACAAAGGTTTAGCAGTTGAGTTTAATATATGTTTGACCTCATTTTTGGATGCTACAGTGACTTTGTGTTTGCAGAGTTGATTCCTTTTGATTACACGCCGCTATAAATGTTTACTAGCAACCAATAACACATTACTAAATGAGCCATTTCTTTAGTTTTAATTGTGCAAAGCACGTTAACTTGGTGATGATTTTATAGTCTTAGCTGGTGTAACACAATCCAGAACCGGAGCTTAGATTGATTAGATCCGTATGTGGGCACGGCTCGACTCTGGCTGCATAAACATGTGCAGAAAGAGTCTGTAAATATTTATTTAAGTACTGTTGTGAGAGAGTCTGTCTGAGGTGTGTTCTTTATGAATGGAAATCAGTTCGAGAAAGAGATTTAATTGTTAATATCCTGTCTGACTGTAGTTCCCTTTTACCTGCAGGTGTCGAGAATGTGACCATTCAGCTGGACCTGGAGGCCGAGTTTCATTTCACACACCTTATCATGACCTTCAAGGTGCCTGTTCTCTCTCTCTCTCTCTCTCTCACACACACACACACACACACACACACACACACATATATCATACTAATACTCCCATACTCATGGCACAGAGATAAACACAGCGTCGGACAGCTGTGGCGGAGGAATGTGGGAAATCATTCCCGGTCTCTAGAGAACGGTGGGAAGAAAAGAAGGAGGGAGGTGGAGGATGAGTTCGGAGCTGTGCGGTAAAAATCATTGCTGTCACATGGTTGGCCATGATGGTGGCCAGCTGGATTCACTGCCTTTCACTTACATTGTGACTCTGCATCATAGTCAAAACACACACCCATAGACACACTTTCCATGTGTATCCTGTTCTGTTTTGGGACTGGGTGGCAGGAAAGATCAGCACCTCTCTAACAGCCGCTCCACCCTTTCTGTAATGTCATTACTTCATATTCAAGTTCTGTTTATTATTACTGTATCCAAACCAAACAGAGATCCTAGATGAAAAACTGCAGGGAAATATACTAGTGTTTGAGTGTTTGAATTTGGTTTCCCAGATCACTTACACAGAAACTTGAGTGTGAAATGATGGTTTCAAGAGAGGAGTGATTAACTGGGATAAACAGGATGATAATGACGTGAAAAAGCTTAAAAGAGCTTCGTTATCTTGAATTAGCGAGATAATCGACCTGTTATCCAGATAAAACAAAAGCTGGTTTCCTCTTATTACTTATTGTGTTCATCAGAGATTAGTAGTACCATGCCAGCATGCATGGATGGAGTATTATAGATGTAGCATTGGTTCAACATAATGGATAATGCGTGAAGGAATGACATGCAACGTACCAGTTAACATTCATTCCCCAGGAAAAAGTACATGAAAAGAACCCGGACATTGCAGGGATCTTTGAGCTCATTTAATACATCTCAACGTATTGATATATTTGATCAGTTTAGCATCACTTCGTCAGGACATTAACAGCTTATTGAGTATAAGATGCCACTGCATTTTGGTTTCCCTGATCATTCACAGAGACTCAAACAAAGCATCAATAGTCATTGACATCTGACAGTACAAAACTCTATGATTTAAAGCAATAATGCAACTTTAATGTATATTAGAAACCATTGTTGCCAGTGATTTAGTGATCTCTCTGTCCGTCTCTGTCGACAGACGTTTCGGCCGGCTGCCATGGTGATCGAGCGATCGATGGACTTTGGGAAGACGTGGCAGGTTTATCGTTACTTTGCCTACGACTGCGAAGCATCCTTCCCCGGCGTGTCCTCTGGGCCATTGTTCAAAGTGGACGAAATCCTCTGCGACTCCCGTTACTCAGACATCGAACCATCCACCGAGGGAGAGGTGACTGTGACTCTGGTTCTTTCTGCAAACACTTGCTGACTTTTCTGTTTATATTTATGAAGATTTATCTATTGATATGAATGTCTGTAAAAGGAAAAATTGCCTATTTTCTCCTATTTTCTGTCTTTTAGGTGATATTTCGGGTGCTGGACCCCGCCTTCAAGATTGAGGACCCCTACAGCCTGAGGATACAGAGTAAGCTAAGCCTAAATTTCCTTTTCATTGGCAGCTTATTACAGGTTGCATGTGTTGTATAAGTTGTGAATGGCTAAAGAGTAATTTAGCTGATTTATTTGAAGTCTGAGGTAAAATCATCCAGTAATTCACAAGAAAAAATTAAAGATTGTAGATAAATACAGTGTCGTATAGTGTTGTAGTGCAGAATACTGTTAAACATCTAGTAGTTAATCAATAATTAGCAGAGAAATATTTAACCCTTTATTTTACAGGTTTGTAGACTACTAATTATATCCAAGAAGTTTTAAATAAAGTTTAGTTTTAATCATAAAGGAAATAAGAATATCCCTGAAAGGAAAGCTTGATTTAAAATCAAATAAATATTAATTCATGTCTAATTATATGTTTGCCAGTCAACATATTTAACAGTTCTGTATGTTTCCTGCTGTGCTGGTTACACTAGCAATTAACTGAAGTCAATTAATAAAAAATAATTATTTCCAGTGAATTTACTGACAATTACACAGAAATGATGAATGATGAACACATCGTAGGGGTTTAATTTGACCTGACCTCTGACCTCTCACCTCCCTGGTGTGAAAGATCCAGCGAACTCATCACAGTATTGAGATGATTTCTAGTAACTCATCTGCAGTCCAGGTAACAGCTACCTGGAGCAGAGTTGCAGGGGGTCAGAGGTCAGACAGGAAGAGAACCACATGGAATTTCACACGTGGAAGCGACTCGGCTTTTGTACACTCACCTCCACCCAGACTGAGACACACTCACACACACATGCAGAGGCCTCATGGTAGGTATGTGGCGAATGCTGTGGGTGTGTGAGGAACAGCAGCGGCGTCCCTCAGGTCTGAAAACTCTGCAAGAAACTTCAACAAACTTCACATAAGAGAGGTTTGCCTTGTAAAAACGACACTGAGCAAATCTCACAACCTTTTTACCTGCTTAAATAAAGTTGTAAGAAGATGTGAACGCTCTAATCTCCTGTGTGTGTGTGTGTGTGTGTGTGTGTGCAGACATGCTGAAGATCACTAACCTCCGGGTGAAGTTCATCAAGCTCCACACACTGGGCGACAACCTGCTCGACTCCCGCGACGAGGTGACAGAGAAGTACTACTACTCCCTCTACGATTTGGTCGTCCGCGGCAACTGCTTCTGCTACGGCCACGCTTCCGAGTGCGCCCCGATGGATGGAGCGCCGACTGGAGCCGAGGGCATGGTACGTCAAACACAAACACACAGAGAACAGAAAGCATGAAAGATTGAGGGATTTATTTATTTTTCATGTTGATTTCATTTAACCGAAAGCAAAAATTTATAGGAATGACCAAAAATGAGACTGAAAGTTCAATCATTGACCTTGGAAACAGAAGTTGGAACAATATTTCCCACTCAGTAGCTGTTTCCTCATTATCAGAGTGGAAATCAAGTATTTTATTGTCGTTTGCACAACAGTTACAGTGAAGCAGTCGAAATTCTTAATTCTCAGGCTCCCTCCAACATTGCTCAAATAATATGTATACAAAATAAGATCAGGTAAAAATTAGAAGCTAAGACATAAAATAGTGCAGAAGTTAAAATATAGGAATATAATACAATATATATTTAAAAATATGTATAATACATTAAATAATTAAAAAAGTAATTTCATGACAACTTGGTAACTCAATCTGCTGATGGAGCTTTCCTAACGTTTAATATTTAATAGTCTTTTACTGCAAATCACCCTCTCAAAAAGCTTCTTAATGGACATTTGAGTAGAGATTATTTTGTTGCACAAGCTTTTCCCAAAGCTCCAAGGATTAACTTCCATACCAAAAGACTGTTTTTTATATGTGGCTTATTGATACTAAAAAGAAAAGATTCAGAGAGTTTTCTTAATCTTTATGAAGCTTTGGTGTGTTGGACTGTTAGATCTCAATCCTACAGTACATGTGGCTGGTATTGGTGGTAATTTAATTTGTGTGTGTGTGTGTGTGTGTGTGTGTGTGTGTGTGTGTGTGTGTGTGTGTGTGTAGGTCCATGGCCGCTGTGTATGTAACCACAACACCGAGGGACTGAACTGTGAGCACTGTCAAGACTTTTACCATGATTTGCCTTGGAGACCTGCTGAGGGACGAAACACCCACGCCTGCAAGAGTAAGAACACAAAGATTAATGCACGAAAAGTTCACTTCACTCTCTGTCTTTTGTTCTATTCACATTTCGGGAGAAGACGCTTATTCACATTCTTTGTTTGATGAGTTTGATGGGGAGATTGATACCACTGTCATACCTGTACGTTAGGTACAGTATGGAGCCACAGCTGGCTATCACAAAATAACAACAACAATACAGACATCTGGGAAACTTTATTCACCTTTTTTTTACATTTTATACACAATTAATTAACATAAGATAATTAAAATACTTAGTTGCAGCCTCTATATAACACAAATGAAAACAATGACATAATAAGTATGTGAAATACATGATAAATCTTTAGTTTACAAGAGTAAAGTCTACTTTACTTAAAAGTAAAATCCTTCTTTGTCCTCTTCTTTTCGCAGAGTGCGAGTGCAACCACCACGCCACGTCCTGTCACTTCGACCTCGCCATGTACATGACCACCGGCAACATGAGCGGAGGCGTGTGCGACGACTGTCAACACAACACGGTGGGCCGACAGTGCGAGCAGTGCGGACCCTTCTACTACCAGCACCCGAACCGAGACCTGAGGGACCCCAACGTCTGCGAGCGTAAGTCACCTCCACGTAACCTCTGACCCCTCTTGGGTGCTTCTCCACCGCGTCTCTCTCTACTCATTACACAAACTTGTCTGTTCAGATGCATGTTGGTGTCCTCCTCCTGTTTCTTTTCAGACGAGCACCATCTGGAGCTGTACTGTGTTTTGCCTTTGAAGTGAAAAGCAGAAAGTAGACATGATTGTAATTACCTGCTAAGTACAGGGTACAAGTGGAAGTAATGCTGTAAAAATTTGAAACACAGTCTCCCCCCTTTGCCCTCTTTTCCCCTTTACAAGACTCATCTTTAAAATTACACACCGCTTTTGCAGAGAGGCTTTTCTCGTTCTCTTGTCCATTCTCACGCGTGAATATCTTCCTGGACCGGTAATGTTATTAGAAAGATAAGCTGATGATGTTGTTTTATGTCTTTAGTTTCTGAACATCATGTAAGGAAAGTAGAGAGAGTAGATGGAGCGAGTGAGGACAGATTTATCAGTTTTTCTTGGCTGAAAGGGCAAAATATTTCAAAATTTACTGACCAGATAGTGAAATTTGTTTGTGTATATTTGTGATCCCCAAGAATTTTTGTTGACACTACAGACCTTTCTTTCCATCAGGCTAACTTATTCTTCTTTTATGTAAGACATATGAGAATCTACTGGGCAGATTTCCATTTATCTTACGTACATTTTTATTTAGTAAAAACAAAAAAACAAATATCGATTAAAAGCATCCATGTGAAATAAATTTCACACAGTTTTTAATCAGATTCGTCCAAAATCAGATATCCTTGTTGTTTGTAGCAAAGTGGATTCATTTCTCCCTATTTCTGTTGAATTTCTTAACTATTCCTCAGGGAAAATTTATTTTTTAATCACATATATTTCCCTCATGTGTCTGTTTTAGCCAGCCAACTAGTAAAATTTCCACAGATAATGCTACAGGTTAGTTTATTACTACACTTTCTGTCGTCAAAACTACATTATCTTGTTGTCCTGAGAGATTTCATGACCTAAAATGCATCCCAAAGTTAAATAAACATACAGAATACATATTATATTCTCTGAAAACATGTTTATCACATGACCATCAGATGTAGGAACCACGTGTGTCCACTCAGTCTCATTATTGTCATTCTTTATGTCTCTACAGCATGTAACTGTGACCCGACCGGGTCTCTTGAGGGTGGACTGTGTGACCCGCGGACCGATGTGCTAGCCGGCCTGATCTCAGGCCAGTGTCGCTGCAAAGCCAACGTGGAGGGCGAGCGCTGCGACAACTGCAGACAGGGACACTACGGACTGGGACAGGGGCCTCACGGCTGCCTGCGTAAGTCACAATCAGTTAGACTGCTGTCGGGGTCTGTTAAATATCTCAGATCACATAAAATATAGATTTTGTTATTTTCATTCTAGCTCTCTGTGTGAAAGGTTGATATGTAAAAATCAGGAAAACAAATTATAGGATGGAGGTTGGATATTGTTTATTAATACTTATGTTCACTATGAAACAAGAAACCCTTAAAATATTACAAGTTACTCCTTAATTTAACCCTGAAGCATACCAATGTTAAGAAGAGTTCCCTTATTTTTTCCATTAATTTAAAAAGACAAAACCCAAACCCCTTAAAATTCAGCCATTCTCTAACAATTTAAAGGGACAGTCACCTTTGGTTTCCACCTTTAAAAACTCCTTGAACCGTGCATATAATCCATTAGAAATAATATATATATTACAATTCATTAATTATCCCCTTAAAATCCCAGTAAAAATAAGTAATTTTCCTCATTATTAATGGGTAAATTAACTGAATTTCAAGGTAAGATTTGGTTAGAAATAGTGGTTAAACTGACGCAGTTGAATCTGTTGCTTCATTGTTTCATTGTGTGCTTTGGCAGCGTGTACCTGTAACCCGCTGGGCACTCTGCCTGGAGGAAACTGTGATTCAGAGACAGGAAGTTGCTTCTGCAAACGCCTTGTTGACGGACATAACTGCGATCAGTGTCAGGTACGGATCCAAAAAGACTGCCAGCTTCCATTTGGATATTTTACCTAGATATATATATGTGTGTGTGTGTGCAAGTGTGCATGAACAAATCTCCTTTCTCTTCCCTGTAGCCGCAACACTGGGGTCTGTCCAATGACATGGACGGCTGCAGGCCATGTGACTGCGACCAGGGTGGGGCAGTCAACAATAAGTACGTTTAAAGACCACTTTTATTAATTAATTAACATCACAAGGTGTGATTGAGGATGCACTTGCAGCAGGGACGTAGAATATATAGACATTATCTGTATTTAGAATTAATGCTGGGAACTATTTACTGTTAAGAGGAAAATTTGTACATGGCACCCAATCATTTATATTATAAAATATGTAAAGAAAATACATATTTTTTCCATCTTTTTATGCATAACTGTGGGTTCAGAGATATTTCCCTGAATCTCATATGATCCCATTGACAACCCAGCAACAGTCAAATAATAATGATAATAATAAGAGTGAGAGTCAGCGTTTATTTAGGTCCGTTAAGCTTCTGTTAAAAACTAATGTAAACTCAAACAATACTTAAATACAAATTATCTTTTTAATTTTGTTATCTCAAGATTTAAGTTTGATTATGTCGTTATAATGTCATAAAATGTTATAATCTCGAGGGATGAGATATCTTGAGGTAACAAGATAATAGACCTTTTGCAGGGCAGACATTTTGACATGTCATAGCATGAAAAAACAGTAAGCTGTAATTAAAGATGAATTAATAATGTTTACTAGTTTGAAGGCCCTGGTAGTGTGCATGCTTTTCCTGCTTGACAAGTCAAGTGAAGAGTTTTTAACAAATAAGGCAGTATATAACACGCAGAATAGAAATGGTAGAAGTGGTTTTATACACAAAATTAAACCACATGGAGAAACATAGGAACTAACAACCTCCATCTCTCTCTCACTCTCTCTCTCTCTCTCCACAGCTGTGACCCTCACTCAGGACAGTGTGTGTGCAGGGAGCACATGTTTGGACGTCGCTGCGCTCAGGTCGAGTCTGGCTTCTACTTCATCGCTCTGGACCACTACACCTACGAGGCGGAGGACGCCAAGCACGGACCTGTGAGCATGTTTCCCATCTGTTTTGTGGTGCTTTTACCCAGGTATGTACAGCTTTGTTGATCCCCTTCTCTCTCTGTCAGGGTGTGACGCTGGTACCGAGGCCTTATCCTCTGGATCGCAGTCCTACTTGGACCGGTATGGGCTTTGTTAACGTACCAGAAGGAGCCTACTTAGAGTTCGCCATCAACAACATCCCCGAGTCTATGGACTATGACATGCTTATTCGCTATGAGCCGCAGGTAACACGTGCACACAGGCATAAACATAATATAGGCCACTTATAACATGTAAGTCTAGTTGTTCCTTAAGAAGTAGTTTGGAAATGTGTGTTATAAAATAAGAGTCAGAGCTTGAGGGATGGAGGTACCCAGTGAGTTGAAACCCAAACCGTTATTTACCTAATGTTAGAACGAGAACAGAAAAAAAAGGGTTTTTGTTTTGCTCTATACTCAATATAGAATATATTCATCAAAAAAGTTCAATGATTTCTTAAAATCTTAAGGCTGCAGTAGACTCTTTAGTATCCCCAGCATTTGTTACTTCTTCATCAGGGCCTTACAGGAGCTTCCACTGAGGACACAGAGGTTATATCCTTGTTTTTTGGGGGACTATTGAGTGTTTACCTTCTACAATTACACACAAGTTACACAATTATTTGACTTAACTTGTTTGTAGGCCACAACAAAAAGAATTTGGACCACCATATTTACCGAAAAATGTAACATGTAGAGGGTTTATTTTAAAAGCTGACACATGATAATGTGGTTTTCTGTCCATATTCTTAAGTTAAATGTGTATCTTCTGCAGGTCTGGTTAGTAAAATGTGAGCATCTCACCATTTTAACACAGATAACTGATGTTTAATGATTGATTGATGTTAATATAGTTTTAAGAATAAATAACCTATATGTATACGTGTGTGTCTGTATATGTTGGCAGCTGCCGGAGCAGTGGGAGCAGGTAAACATCCGAGTGCAGCGTCCCGTCTTCAACCCTCCAAACTACTCCAGTCACTGCAGCAACTCCATCCAGAGTGGAGACGAGCAGTCCATCTCTCTTCCACCTGGATCCAGGTAAAGCACTAAAGCTTACTTCACTGTGTCTCTCTAGCAACACATTCACTACACGCATTCACTGACTGACTCTGTGCTGCGTTTCAGACACGTGTTGCTGGTGAGGCCGATGTGTTTCGAGGAAGGACTGAACTACACGATCCGACTCAGTCTGCCTCTCTACTCGTCAGTCAGTGACGTCCAGAGCCCGTACACACTCATCGACTCTGTACGTTTATTCATTTATACATTCCTAACCCACAACTCCCCTTAAAGAAGCTGTCCCACAGATATATTGTCCTGTTGGTCTACTTAACTGTCAAAGAGATACGTCTAGAGACACTAAAATCATACATGTACCCCTTGTAGATTGGTAATACTTTACTCTGTCGTTACATCTCATAGGAACTATTTCTTCTATCGATGTAGTGATTAGTTTCTTTGTTTCTGAGAAAAATAGTCAGTTTGGTTGCAAATGGTTTTAAATACTACCATGAGGCTCAGCAGCCGGCTCCTAATGAAGAGAAGCCTGTCAGAGTTGTGAAATGTGTGTGTAATGACGAACAACAATCGGCACCATAGTTTCCAGAATACAAAATGAAACTGATTTAACTCAGGTTTCTACAAAGAAAAAGCTTTAGCTTCAGCGTCCCATTAGGCCAACAGACGACAGAATTTTAAGCATGATGATTGGATGTTTCTTAATATTTAAACTTAGAAAAAAGCTTGAGTTTTGTGTACATCCAAGCCTTTTAAAGTGCTACAGCTGCCAGTCCCATTAAATGGCCTGTGGACAAAAATATTTAATTTGGCTCCCTGAAACATTTCAAGTAGCTCCTGTGTTTTTATTATGGCTTCCATTCCTCTGTCCTCCCCCTATCCTCCTCCTCCTCCTCTTCCTCTCTATATAGTTGGTGCTAATACCCCGGGTCAGGGAGCTGGACATGTTCCATGGGGTGGAAGGTGAGGGTGCGTGGGACACGTTCCAGCGCTACCGATGTCTGGAGAGCAGCCAGAGTGTCATCAAAAGCCCCATGACCGACATTTGTAACGACTACATCTTCAGCGTCTCCGCTCTGCTGCACAAAGGAGCCATGGGTACATATCAGATTGTGTATATAATGTGAGAAAATCCCAAGACAGGATGAGAAGTTTTAACTAATCCTCTGCCTTGTTTTATCTCCCAGCATGTCAGTGTGACCCTCAGGGTTCGCTAAGCGCTGTGTGTGAGCCCAGTGGAGGTCAGTGCCGGTGTCGACCCAGCGTTGTCGGCAGGAACTGTGACCACTGCGCTGCGGCGACGTTCCTGTTCAGCCCCGCCGGCTGCAGACGTAAGTGCTGGAATGGAATGATTGTGTAGTTTTACCCGTACTCAACCCAGTTGCAAGAAGTGTAATGGTTCAAATCTCGTCCTCAGCTTGCGAGTGTGACTTTCGGGGTTCGGTCAGCGCCTTCTGCCATGAGTCGACGGGTCAGTGTGAGTGTGTCCCGGGGGCCTCGGGGCGCCAGTGTTCCCACTGCCTGCCGGGCTTCTGGGGCTTCCCTCACTGCAGACCCTGCCATTGTAACGGCCACAGCGATTACTGCCACCCTCAGACTGGAGAGTGTCAGGGCTGCAGGGACTTCACCTCTGGACACCACTGTGAGAGGTACAGCCTGGAGATGTGATCAGTGGATTTAGATGCTGTATCTGTTGTTTGGTGATTGGAGCAGGTACTTATCTGGATATACTATGTCAAAGGCAACCAGATTAACCTTTTTAGTCTTGAAGATGCTTCATTTTACACATTTTAAGGCTTTTTCTCAGACTAAAACTGCTCTTTCAGTTGTCTTTGACTATAGCTTAATTGTAGGGTTGGTGGTTCAGTCCCGGGCTCTAAACCCCAAAATACTTCCAGACAAAAGCTTCTGAAAGAGTCTGAAAATGAACATAAAAACAAATTACCTCAACAACCACTGGCCAGCCAGATTACCATGAACACGAGCTGTGTAAATTCATTCATACATTACGAAACCAGAAGAGTTTTTTGTGTATTCATTGTCACCAGAAGATGATCTCAAATGTGATGTTATCAGGCCAAAATGTCCAGTTGAACACAAGAAATATCCAAATCTAATCAACAGGATGACATCACATGTACACGCTCCAAAGGGATTCAACCAGAGCAGTTTCGAGGCATCCTGGTGGCCTGTGGGTTTACTCACAACATCCCTAGTTCGGGGGCCAGGCTGGGAACCTTTGTTGCATATTGTCCTTTATCTCCCCCCGCCTCATTTCCTGTCTATTCCCTACCGTCTCTCCTATTTACTAATGTAAAAGCAACAATGGCAGAAAAGAAATTATACAAATAAAAAAATAAACAGTTTTTAAGTTGTAGTTTAAGTCTCTAGAGGACAAGTCCGTGTCTAGTAACAAGTCTTCATAAACAAGTTTAAAGTCACATTTAGCTGAGACCAAGTCCCTTAATTCTATAGTATAGGATAATTAAATGATTAAGCAGCAGCTTAGCTTTCTGTTTTCTGCTAAATCAGAAGGATTATAGTCAAGGGATCTTGGAGTCTTTTAATTTACCTTTTCCTTTACCTCCAGGTGTCTGGATGGTTACCATGGTAACCCAGAGTTGGGTTCAGGTGGCCACTGTCGCCCCTGCATGTGCCCCGATGGACCGCGTAGTGGGCGGCAGTTTTCTGACAGCTGTTACCTTCTGCCTAATACCAACCAGCTGGTGTGTGTGTGCAGCGCTGGCTACAAAGGTATATATAACACACACACACACACACACACACACACACACACACACACACACACACACACACAGGACATCTCACAGTAATGAGTCATAACAGATTTGTTTTTATGTAAGCAGCTTTTTTTAAGTCCTCAAAGCATCACGTTGCACTTTATGTCATCATGTCTTCACCTCACACGTCACGTTACAAAGCCAAACAACACTTCAGGCCCCCTTCTGAACTTATTCTTTAAAAAAACAACACTCCTTTACTTCCTGTTTCCTTTCCCCATCCAGGCGCCAGGTGTGACGAGTGTGCTCCCGGTTATTTTGGGAACCCTCTGGTGCCCGGTGGGCGCTGCATGCCCTGCCAGTGCAACAGCAACATCGACATGCAAGACCCGGCGTCCTGTGACACTCGGACGGGCGCCTGCCTCAAGTGCCTGTACCACACCGAGGGCCACAGGTGTCAGCAATGCAAACTGGGTTACTACGGCAACGCCGCCACTCAGAGCTGCAGGAGTGAGTACAGATGTGACCGCTAACTTACTGTATGTATATGTATATGTGTGTATATGATTTATGTGTCTGCATTTATGACCGAGGTACGAACTGAGTGGGACATTTTAGAGTTAACAAAATAAACGTATACTGTTTTTAAATGAGATCAAATATGTTCTTTTATAACACTTTTGTGTCAGATGTTTTCCAGAGAAAAAAGTAGGTACCAAGGCGCATGTAATGAATACAAAGGAAAAATAAGCAAATAAATGATTTGATAGACATATATAACTGGCAATAGTTGGAAGGTTTCATCCTAAAATATTCTTTTAACACACCAAATTTCATCATTTAATTTACCCAATAAAGTATATTTTATCATATATATTGCAAAAATAATAATCTGTGTGGATTAGTGCTTAGTAGGGACTATATTTTAAAGTATTAGTGTGTAGTGTGGACTGATTGTACACTTGATCACAATGTCTAATTACCATAAATCTAGGTTAAAACATTTTAAGGGATCCTTATCAAGCTGTTTTTGTTTGTTATGTGGAAAAACTACAACAGGCTAATTTAGTTATTGTAGGATTATTGAAAACAGCCTCTAAAGTCCAGTATCAACTGGGCTAATCTCAGAGTGGGTTTTAAGGCTACTATCAGCAATTTTAACCCAACCCAGGGTATATGCTTTCAAAACTTGTCTTTCCTCCTCTGTGCAGAGTGTATGTGTTACCCGATGGGCACAGTACCTCAGGCCTGTCCATCCCCTGAAGACTGTCAGTGCAATCAGCAGAGCGGCCAGTGTCCCTGCCAGCCGAACGTGGTGGGACAGAACTGCGACCGCTGTGCCGTCGATACGTGGAACATCGCCGGCGGGACGGGCTGCCAGCGCTGCGACTGCGACCCCGTCCACTCCTTTGGCTCTTCCTGCAACGAGGTGAGTCAGACGCTGTGATGAAAAACCACCAAGAGCCGTAACCACTCACCAAATCCGACATCTGTCTGCATCATTTCCTGCATTAGCATCGCAGCAGCTGCTCCAGTTTGCTCTCCTTCATCGTGATGTATAGCTGAGCTGAATCCCAGCGCTCCACCACACAATCTTCTCTCTCAGTGAACTACTGTTGGCAGTAGTTTTCCTTACACAATGTGGGGACTGGCTTGGGACATTTTCCAAACAATTCTCATTGAGAGCAAAGCTGCAGGGCTGCATTGAGCCACTGTGACCAACCTATCTAATCACAGAGGCCTTTGTTTGTATCATTGTTTTTATATATGAGCTCCAGCTGTTTGGGAATTGCTTCCCTCTCTGTTTTTCTTAAGCTCTATTTTACTCATGCACACAAAATCTAGCTAAAGTACAGAGTAGTGCACACATAGACACACACTCAAACATTTGGGTTTCTGTGTTTACTGGCTGCTCTCCATCAGAGGAAGGAAGTCTCAGAATACACCAAGGAATAACTGAATACTCATTCTCTAAGAGGAGCAAGTTGTATCAAACTACAAAGGTTCATTGTGTCTGCAAGTGAAAGAAAAGACATAAAACATACTGGATTAGTCCAAACGTTCAACTGTTTTAGACACAATATCACCATATTTTCTCTCACTGTCTGGTCGTATTTTCTTGACCTCATGTCCTTTGTGATCATGCTTTTTGTTTGTAGGTCACAGGACAGTGCTTGTGCAAACCCGGTTTTGGTGGCAGGATGTGTCGGGAGTGCAGAGAGCTCTTCTGGGGGGATCCTCTGGTCAAATGTCATGGTAGGTCTTTATCACCTGTCACCAATATACGAACAAACAAAAAAGCACATCTCCCAACAGACTCCTCCTAATCCTGCTCTCACATGCTTCCATTACTCAACTGTTGGCTAACATGTTCTCCATATAAACATAAAAGGTGATAATGTGTGCAGCCTGTTTACACTGCCCTCAAGTGGCTAAAGAACTCAGGTGATGGAAGTTTAAATATTTGGTCACAAGTTCTCTCTATTTTCCCTCCTAATGTTCTTGCAGGCCTGGACTGCAGCCACATTCCTTCCTGCTTCGGGGGGATTTTTGACATTAATTCTGGTCCTCATTTTGTGAAACTAAAGATCATTGGATCGGATATAGACGAGGAAAACAGAGCGTAATCTGATACTATACATTAACCTGAAATATCACGTAAATGCTTGATTGAAATTGAGTGCTATGCCGTGAAGAGAGAAGCCACATGGCTCACATAAACAGCAGCTAGAACGTAAGTGAGACCTGTCAGCAGCGCTGTGTGGAGTTATCTTAATCTCAAGGAAGAAAGAAAAGTGCAATTTATGCATTAATGTAACACATTTACATTTAATTTTTGATGTTCAATCAAAAATGCTGCTAAAAGTTCTGTGTGAAAAAGTTTTAAAGCAGCAGTATTGAATAACTGAGTCATGTTGTGGGCTATGTATTCCTACCTTCATGGGACTACAACGTTTTAGGTGACTCGGTTAAGGAAAGTGCATCCATACAAATGTAATAACAGCTTAGTTGTTTATGGGAGGGAAAAGATGTTATCAGTAGCGGTACTCAAGGTTGCCATTCCTATGTGAAACATCCTAACAGTTGGACTGAGGTCAGGTAAAAGACTTGGCCAGCCAAGAACATGTCACTGTTAGGCCCTTAAAAAAACTCCTCAGTTGTCTTGTTTATATGTTTATGGACTATGGATTAAAAAAAAACACAAATCCTGCACTGTTCACCCAATAAGGATGTGAACACTCTTAAACAGCCTAAAATCTGTTTTATTTCAAGTTCAGTATGGTGGACCACGGAGCCAGAACAGTGGAAAACATCACTGTCCTAATACCTCCTGACTGTATTCTTGAGTTTATATTTCCTTTTAAGCTCATTATATATTTTTTCTCCCTGCAAGGATTTGAAGTTCTCATGAAATATGTTTTCCCTGAGTCTCCATGTTGAGCTTTATATTGTTTTTCCATGGTTTTCTGCTCTTTTTTTGTGTGTTGGTGTGCAGCTCATTACATATGAGGAAGCATACCAGTGGTGACTATGAAACAGCTTTGGAATGAGTTGGTTTTGTATAGACAGTGATTGCATGTCAGCAGCAGGGAATCAGCAAGATGGAGCTCAGTCAGATTGGTCAGCCCCAAAAAGTTTTATTGTTGGTTGAACAAACTGCTGGAGAGTCCATATGCAGAAAATGAGCGCCTCACGGTAGCTGGCTCACCCTCAGAGAAAGAGAAAGGGAGTAGGAAAGAGAAAAGGGCGAGGAGAGGGAGGAGATCTGGGAATGACCTCTCGCTCCCTGCTCATGAGAACCAGATGTTCTCCAGAACTCCCAGGCATCCCATTTTCGTCATGCACCAACGCCCAGAGGACCCAGAAATCCTGAATTATTCCCGCTGTATTCCCTAAAGGTCTCTGAAGCTGTTAAACCAGCTTGGCCCTGCTTTCTATCTGCACAGATGATACACTAATGTGTAAATGCATGGGAAATCCAAGCACTGTGGCCACGTTACTGAGAAATGTGTGGGAGTAATGTGTAGTTATGTGAGACAATGTTGATAATAAAGCCTCTTAAAGATGCTGCCACAGCGGAGAGGTTGTTCTTATGTCCAGATTTAGATGTCAGAGGTTAAAACGTTTGTCTGGTCGGCATCTCTTTGTGCTTGACATGATTTAAGGGGACCAAACCCGCTGACTGTTATTAGTGTGTGGCTGTTGTGTGGTACGTCGCTGTAAATGGACCATAATTACCATATATGTTCTGACCCTAAGGTGCAGTATTTCACCATGACAAAAACAAAACTTCAGACCCAACTCTCACCTTCTGCTCCATCAATCACACAAATGAATGCAGCAACACTGATTCAAACCCTGCATTCCTTCGTTCTGACTTACACCAAACCTCCTCCTCCTCTTTTACTCTGGGGAGGGAAGGCAGCGCTGTGGAGTGTCAATACTTGGGGGGTCAGTATGACCTTCAAGGTCAGGTTCTTGTCTACGTTTATTTACTGGAGGTCCTGGATATTGAATATACATTGTTTTCAAATGGCTTATTTCCCTGGGGAGACAAAAAAAACACATCTCATATAACTGTTTCATAGTCTATTGTTATTATTCCATTAGGCCTCAAACGTTAGATGGAAATCAAGTTTTATTAAAAAGTTATATTTTTCTTTTTGGATTATTGTGACTCTCAAGTCATAGTACATTGGGTTGGCAACGTGTAAAATTAGCCTTAGACCTAAACAAAGAAATACTATATTACAATATAATGTTACTTAATTAAGTTGTACCTAATTACGAATAGTTGGAGCTGTAACTTTCCATTGAGAACAGGTAATATGTGGACTTGAGGACAGTTTATATTTTATCATTTGAAGTTATGTGATTTAAGGATAAGCATTCAACCTAAATATAAAAATACAACAATTTAAAGGTGGGATCAGTAACTCTGGAGAAAGATAATTCATTGTTGAGTCTCATTCCCAGGTCTTACCTTTGGCTTATGGTAAATAGGTGGCGTTCGTGCTCCCAGGTAGTCAAATACCGACGCTGTGGGTTGCCAAAGCTCTGCATGAGACTCAACAACTATTTTTCTCCAGAATGACTGACCCCATTTTTAGTAGAGAAAACTTGAATATGTATTATGAATACAATATAATAAAACAGTTGAATGAATTCAACATGGAAAATAATTCAAATTAACAACACATTTTACAATATTTTTAGGTCTCTCCAAGGCTATCTGGGACTGGAGGGGCTACTTAAACCTACATAAAACATAGTAATTCATCTATATAAATTAGTTTTCCCCTGACTTTCCTCTCTGTTTGTTCCCAGCTTGTGACTGCGATGCTCGGGGAATCTCCAGCGAGCAATGCCATCGCGCGACAGGTCAGTGTACTTGTGTGGAGGGCGCGTCCGGCCCACGGTGTGACAAGTGCGCCAGGGGCTACCAGGGTGAGTTCCCCTCCTGTGAACCCTGCCACCAGTGCTTTGCTGTCTGGGACACCATGGTCGGCGAGCTGACCAATCAAACTCTACGTCTGGAGGCCCAAGTGACAGAGCTCAAGAGCAGCGGGGTGACGGCGCCATATAAAGAATTAGTCAGCAGCCTGGAGAGAAATGCCAAGGCTGTCAGAGAAATATTAGAGAGCAACCCTGCAGCAGTGAAGCTGGAGCAGATACAGGATCTGATGCATCAGATTACGTATGTATATAAACAAATCAAGATCTACACAGAGATGTAGTAGAGATGTGTTTGAGCTCATTACTGTCTTTGTTGTTTCTTCAGCGGCGTGATGTCCTATGTAACCATAAAGCTGAACACGACGGAGGAGTCCTTGAACCTTCTCCACAGTGACGCCAACAACACCGAAGCAAACTTGGACACACTGACTGATGAGGCCAACCAGCTGGAGCTGAGTGTCCAGGAGCTGAGACAGCAGGTGTACAACGCCAAAAACGCCAACATCCAGGGTGAGAAACCAGGCTGCGGGAGAGAAACTGTTTGTTTTTTTAAACCTTTACCTAACAGGGAAACAAGCGTGTCATCAGCATATTGCTTCACATTCATCCCGTTATACTTGTTCTCATGCTGGAGCCTTTTGATTGGCATGTATGTGTGTTTTCAGGTGCCATGGACACCATTTCAGCTGCACACATGCAGTCTGCGATGGCGGAGATCCGCGCCAATGCCTCCACCAGTAACCCCGGAAACACATTGGAGCAGTCAGCCACAGTACGGAAAGCCACGGAGGACAAACTGAGCAGCAGTCAGAAGGATTTTGACCGCAAGCAACAAAGAAACTCACAAAAGTTGGATAAGCTGTCCACAGAGCTAGATGATCTTGACCTGTCACCACTTAGCAAAAAGGTGAGAAAAGGACTTGAAGAACCACAATGCAGATTATATTTCCTGTATTGTCTCGATTATAAAGTAGCAACAGTCTATTTTCCTCAGTAAAGTTTCATTTTAATGCAGAATATTGTTGACAAAATATTTGTAGATGGCAAAAATCTAACCTCTAACTGATTCCCTTGCATTGAATGTTGGTGATAATCACTTTGTGTGTATTCTGTCTGCAGACATGCGGTGGTGCAGCTGAAGGCGAGAGCTGCTCCGGCTCCCCCTGCGGTGGTTTAGGTTGTGTCGGTGAGGACAAAGCACCTCACTGTGGTGGAGAAGGATGTGAAGGCCTTGTCATGACTTCCCAGAATGCTCTCAAATCAGCCAAAGACCTGGACAAGGAGATCCTAGCAGCGATGCAGGAGGTGGACAAGCTCTCCAGGATGGTGAGCGCACATCTATTTGTTTTTTTAAATATATAAAAAAATTCAAGTTGGATGCAACAAAAACAAAAAATTTTGTTTGTGGTCAGGTGTGGGAGGCCAACACCCGCGCAAATGACGCCAAGGTGAACGCAATGGAGGTGCTGATCAAATCCAACCGCAGCAAAGAGAGAGTGGAGCAGAGCAACGAGCAGCTCCGCAACCTCATCAAAGAGATACGAGACCTGCTCACCAGTGAGTACTCCACAAACGCAAACACTGCAGAGTAAAGCATTTGTCTGTCTCTTTCTACAGGGACTCGTCTTTACTATTCAGAGTAATTTATGAGATATTCTGAGCCATAACTCTCACTGTCTAACACCTTTCTAGTTGAAATGATTTATTAATAAAGACATATTCGATTATTGGTGTAAATGGAGACAGAAATAGCTACAGGCAAACTAAATTATTAATAATTAAATAAACTCTATGGAGAAATGTACCTTTTATCTTAATGTTAAAATATTATCAATATCTAAAATACAAGAAACAATAGACTACATATATGTGCCTAAATATTTTGCAATATTGGCTGTTCAAGATAAGTAACTTTTAGTAACCATAGAAGCAAGTGAAGTTTGAAAAGTTTACCCCAAATTTCAGTGTCACAGATAACATTCAGGTAAAAATCACCCATTATCCCAATGGGAGTTTGATTTTCAATATTTAATAAAGTGACTTAAGTTGAAAGTATCCAATATTGATTACTATATTGTTTGAGAACTCAAAGTAGGAGGCATTAATATGTAGTTTCTGGGTTAACCACTAGGGGGAGTATGTTTTTCTTTGTGTGTATTGATTACAAATGAGCACGTTAATTAGATCATTATCAGTGTAGTATGTGGTGTAAATGTAAGTTTATCTTTTTCATCTTTGCAATAAATGGGAACATCACCAAAAAGGAAGGTCACCACCTGCTGAGGCGCCTGACTTCGGACAGTCACTACACTCAATAAACTCGACTCTGTTTTGTTTCTCATAATCCAGATGACAAGGCAGATGTGGCGGTGATTGAGGCGGTGGCCAACGAGGTGTTGACTCTGGAGATGCCAACCTCGACGGAAAAGCTGCAGGAGCTGACGAAGGAGATCCGGGAGAAGGTCGGCACTCTGACCAGCGTGGAGTCCATCCTCAGTCAGAGCGCTGATGACATCCAGACTGCAGAGGCGCTGCTGAGACAGGCCAAGGCAGCCAGGTAACACGCACACTGACATTTGGATCTCAAACTTCATTCAAAACTGTTTTCTACCAAAGAAAATGATTTGGGTGAACTGACACTTTAATATCTTGTATGAGCTACTGTGTGAAAGTCCAACAGCACCTGGTTTTCTCTGCTTGTCTGCACATGATGTATAAATAAAGTTATGTTAATATAAATACAACAAATATTAATATTGACACCCTCTGTCCCTCAGTGAGCAAGCGTCCAACATGAAGGACACGGCAGACGTGGTGAAGGCAGCCCTGGATGAGACTGAGCGTGCTCAGACTGTCGCCATGGACGCCATCCAACTGGCCCAGAACAACACTAAAGGCACCCTGGACCTGGTGATCACTGTGAGTTTGACCCCTGACCTCCAAGGTTATGGTGCAGTAATCAATAATAATTGTAGATTTGGGTGTTTTAGTCTCTAATGTAATGGATGTGGAAAACATCAGATCTGTGCGGAGCATGGGAAAATTTTTTAAAAAAAAGAAAATTAAAAAAAAAAAATATTTATATAATTTTTCCCCAGTTTTTCAATGTCTGAGGTTTGGTTTAATAACGTCTGACTGGAAAATTAGCGCCACCAACTGTTTATATTGATGAACTAACGTCACATAACAGTAGTGGACGGACATGCGCTTTAATTTTCATATCTTCTGCTTATTTTCTAGACATTTGCGCTAAATTTGTATTGAAACTTGGTGATTATCTCACTGCATACCTGATATTGTAACATCTTATACACACTGCAGTGTTGGCATGCTTGAGAGCTCCTCTAATGTATCATAGGATGTCCCTGATATCAGAATCTTCCACAGTTATTACATGTTAAGTATTTTTCTTTCCTTTAAAACTTAAAGAAACACTCACAGAAACCCACCTCCCTTCCTCATGAACTTACATATTTAATGTGTCGGCGCTCTTTTATCAGGCTGATCAATGCTTCATGTACTAATTAAGGCTACAGAAATCTCATGTTATCTTACACTTTAACGTGCGTCTGTCAGGTGGAGTCGGAGACGGCCATGTCAGAGCTGAAGCTCAGTAACACAACCGGTCGCCTGGTTCAGCTGGAGAGGGAGGTCGGCCTGCTGAGACAGAACAGCCTGGAGGTGAACAGCATGGCGGAGAAGGCCGACTGGATCACCGACCAGGCCAGACTGAACGCAGAGGAGGCTCAACAGGTCTCTCTCTAACACAGTTTACTCATCCTTACCTTTTAAAAAACAGCTTATATTTGAATTCACCATCAGCTTTATCAGAAAAAACACACACAAAATGCTTTTATCTGCTGCCGTCATCCCAGTTACACTCGTTTGTTTGTGTGAAGGAGTTTGACGAGAAGGTGAAAGATGAGTTTGAGAGGGCTGAGGACCTGGTGGAGGTTAAAGGGGAGTCGGTGCTGCAGGCGAGGAGGAAGGCGGATGAACTGCAGAAGGAGGCCAAAGAGCTGCTCGCCCAGAGCAGCAGCAAGCTGCAGAGACTCGGAGGTGGGTTCACCCTTTTTCCACTATCTTGTTTTCAGTTTTTATTATGATTTTTTTAAATTCATGTAGCCCACACACGATATATAATAATACATTTTCCCAATTTCCTAGGGCCAAGATAAAGTATTTAAACTGCAGAAAAACCATCTTTTCAGCTCTAATATAATTTCAAGATAATAATTTTAATTAATCTCAAGTCAAATCACATTAGAAAACACAAAGTGTTTTTACAAAGAAGTAAAAAATACAATCAGATTCAAACAAACGGTGACGTCACTTCCTGTGTTCCCAGAGTTGGAGAGCTCCTACGAGTCCAACCAGCGCATCCTGGAGGCCAAAGCGGCAGAGCTGGCCGAGTTGGAGCAAACCATCCGCCGGATCCTGGAGGAGATCAGCCAAAAAGTGACGCTGTACAGCACCTGTCTGTGAGGGACCACCTCAAAGCTCTTCACAGTCCTCAAGTGTACTGGGTGGGAAGTTAAAAAGGTGTACAATGTTTTTATAAACACTGCTCCCCAGATGATTCCAGATTATAGCTATTAGGACCAAACACTGTAATATGTTTCACACCGTCGGTGCCAAAAAGTCTCGATTGTGTGTGAGCCAACAACTTAACACCCAAGTGTTATCGGGCAGCTGTGCCAATAAGTGTTTTAACAATGAAAACAAGCTGCCAAAGACCATTAAAGTATTGAAGTAACGAGTCCCCAAAGGAAACCACTAAAAGCCAATGTGACCTCAGTGCTCGAAACCAAGAATGTGTAGAGAACGTACAACCATTCAGCTGTATGGGACCCTACGATCTGTGTATTTAAATATGTAACTGAACATTTTTGATAGAAATATTGAAGTTTTATATGTACTTAATAAGCCCAAAGATATGGAACACTATCTGGACCAAAAAGCCTTCTGTGATTGGTTCTGTGACTAAAGACGAATATTAAAAATTTTGATCCATCCAAGTTGGTATTTTTTCATTTTTGGTGACTCAACATGATTTTATAAAGTTGCACCTGTATTGATTGATAGTTTAAAGGTCCGGTGTGTAGCATTTAGTGGCATCTGTAGTGGCAGGTTTGGCCATTTTGGGCTACTATAGAAACATGTAAGAGTCTGTAGATAAAACCGGCTCATTCTAAGGTAACAAAAACATAATAATTATAATATTCAGGTGGTTATACACTTATTAAAACAAACAATATCAATATTATATTCCATTACTGCCAATAGATCCTCCAAAATGTTACACACTGGACCTTTAAGTTACCATTGAAGTGAATGAGGGTTGATGATCATGCCAAATGCAGAAAAATAAAATGTAATTGGACAAAGATAACAAAACACTACTTACAAGAACAGAGAAACATATTTTATTTGCATTATTTGGCATTCAGAAGAATATCTGTTCCTGTTAAAATAGAGAATCCTCCTTGAAATAAAAGTTAATTCAATCTCAATACAAAAGATGACACAATGCTGGCTTAAAGTCACACAGTACTCACAACAGGCGGACTTTCTTTTCAGCTGTGCATCCATTAATGTGTCAGATGAACACCTTGTAGACAATGTGGTGTCATTACCGATGGTGCTGTGAGCTCAATACAGACAATTCAAGTCCACGGGGCTGTTTACAAACCTTGAAATAAATCTAGAAAGAGTCCAACAGTGTGGATCCGTTACGTAGCACTTCAAACGGCACAGCAATAGCAGCAACATGTATAGATTCTTGCGTTTACTTGCACAACAGTTGGGACAGATGTGTGGGTTTTTAAAAAAGGCCGAAGCTGCAGATGATCAATATTCTTAATTTCAATGCCTCAAGAAGTTACAGATTTTAAATGTTTGGAGTTCTTGGAAGCAAAACCCTGCAATAAAAACTAAAACGCACCATCGTGGGACGAACTGAAGGCATTTTAATCGAATCGTTTGATGGATATTAGCAGCTGGATAAGGCAGAGTGAGGGAGGTTTTAACAGACTGACACTGAACACTGAAGCTGTGGAGGGAAAAATTAAATCCTCCCACAACACACTGGAATGATCTGTTCTCAGACATCTGGTGTAAAAATATATGGAGGTCAGAGAGAAACCGTCACATATGAAAATATTGACCTCATTTATTGGTCAAACTCAGATACCCTTTGCTAACTACAGCTTTTAAGCTCCAAAACGAAAAAAAATAATACATCTAAACTGACCTTAAAAGTGCTTTGGATCTTTTTTTTTTTTTTCTTTTTTTTTTTTTTAAACTCACTGAGGGTAAAGAGCCGAGACAGACATGGGTTTCCTGTGTGCACATGCCTCAGATTCTGGTCTACTCCTTGCTGCGGGGGTTATGCGGTGCGGGAGCTCCTTCCACGGGAGCAGAGCTGGGAACCGAGAGCAGCTGGCCGGCGTGCATGCGTTCGTTGGCGCGCAGCTGACACCCGTCCTGCAGCATGCGCAGCGCTATCCTGGCGATGTTGCGCGAGTCGTCCAGCCCGGAGTGAGGACGGCCTTCGTACTTCAGGCCCAGCTTCTCCAGCATGGTGCTCAGCTTCGTCTGTGTGCGGGGGACCTGGGGGGGGAGGAAAACAGCCGGTTGGTGGTCTGCTGGTGTTTAAAGACTTTAAAACTGGTAACTAAGGTGAGATATTGGGCTCACATAATCTTAATCATCATAAAAACTTCCTTCAAACAGCAAATAGACCTTTTTCACAGCAGCCAGTTTGAAATTAAATAGTAGGGTAGACAGCACCCCAACTCTGTTTGACCTGAATAAAGTACTAGTTCATGTCACAATGGCTAAAAAAGGTCTATTGCATCATATACGGTGAGTTTGTTACAATATTTTTAGGTTAATTTAAAGAGTAGTTCCCAAAAAAACAGATATCAATACAGAATATATTAACTTTCATGTAAACCTCAGACTCAAGAATATATGGATCATCAGGGTTGGCATGTTTAGGTTTATAATAACCCCAAGTGTAATTAACTAGGTCGCTTTATTTTTGAAAAACATCTTTTTGCTTGTTTTTGTGCAGAAGAACTCTGTCTACACTTTCATAACCTGTCAGTTTCAAAAGGAGAGAAATGTGTTGTGACAATGCCCTCAAAGTCTGTGTGTGTTTTATGTTCGACAGAAGGTTTCAGGCGACAAGTATCAGTACATATTAGTTATCTTAGCTCTGACGGTGACAGAAAAAGATTTAACAATGTCACGCAATTCAATAATACTGGCTTCTTTTAAGGTAAATACTGAATGCAGAATGTGCTTGTGTGCATATTTATTATATTTAGTTAGTGAGAAATAATGTTTTATGTCCATATACCTCATGCAGGAGTTATTGTGGAATAAATAAAAGACATTTACATTCAGTCTCCCATCTTAAAATGATTAACTTGAGATCCCAAACCTTGTAGAAGTTTCCGTATGATTTCCTTATGTTTATCCACTTCTTCGCAAACTGAGGATATCTGATACGGCTGATCCGGCACTGGATGTTGAGGAACTTGCTCATATCCCAGGCCCTTAAAGAAGATATAAAAGTGTAATCGTCAGTTATGTTAAGTTAAGTTAGACGCACAGATTCAGTCCGAATTCTGCAGCATTCAAACGTACCCGTCGGTCAGAATGGCGTATTTGTACTTTGTGCCGAGCTCCCTCTCCTGAAGCCAAGCTACGGCTCGCTGAAGGACTTCGGGAAACGGTTCTGCTTCGTCCACCATTTTCTGCTCAACAAAACATTTTTATTAGTGTACACACAAAAAGACTCCTGATCATATTAATACAACACTGATATGAAAGAACCCTCAACCAACCTGTGTTATTCCTGTTAGCTTCACACAAAAGTCTGAAAGCTGTGGGTTCAACTCTGGCTTTACGTATTCCTGAAAGGAGTCCACCTGCAAAATAAATGAGATGAATCATAAACACAAAACTCACCATGCGGGTTAAAACAAAAGGAACAATCCGGCCTTCATCCAAAACTCAACTTACAATTTCTAAAGTGTGCGTGCTGATAAGAACCATGGGAAACTCTATTATTTCATGATGGAAGTCTGAGGGATTGTCCTCTTCGCACGTCGCTTCAAAGTCCACCACACAGATGTAGTCGTAGTAGGTGTCAGTGGGCCCTCCCTCGGCGGCAGACTGCATCAGCTTCTGCTTCTTATAGTGGCTCTTCAGCCTCTTCTTCATCACATCCTTCACACCTCTTCACACACAAAGAGATAAGAGTTTAGAAAACTTCACCAGCTTTCCAACATTTACCACCACGCTGCCGTAGATCCTTTTCGAACTGTGTGTTTACTGTAATGTGGTTACCGTTACCTTGTGTCGAGCTTCAGCTCCGATAGCTTGACACGAAGCTCGTCCTTGGTCATGCGGTTTATGTGTCCATTGGCCAAAGCGATCTCTTTGTACACAGGGTGACTGAAGTCGCCGTTCGACTGAGACGGGGACGCCGGAGGAGAAGATTCTTCTGTAGGACATATTCTGCTGCAAGGCTTCGCCTGAAGAAGAATTATTTTGACATTAAACGTCACTAAATCATAACAAACAGAGCATTAAGCAGGTTTGGTTTGTTTATAGGAAGAGATAATATCCAAAAATGTGCCAGTTCTGATCGTCTGTAAAGGTGCAGAGGTCAGAAATGTCACTCAAAAGCTTTTCTAGATCCAAAGAAAACTCTTCACTTTGTAAGTTAAAACCAATATAAAGAGTCCTAGTAGCTTTCTCAACAGCTTTAATGCTCCTTATCAGAGATTTTAAAAGTCTTCTAGAGGGATGAACACCTTTCTTCCCAAAAATATTCCCTCTTTTGGTGGTAAAGAGCGCTAATGTAGACCCTCATGTCCTGTATGGACACATCTGGATTCATTAGGTTTCTCCACTCATTTATTAAAGTTTTTATTTAATTTATCACCCCTCTATATATTGACCAGAACTTATTAAGAGAACTATACCAATGATTTTGCTCTCTTTTTTTTTACACCTTTCATTAGAAATCAGGTCTACTTCACTGGTTAAACTTCTTCCTTGTTACTAGGATAAATTCAGCCACTTCTAACTATCGTCGGTTCATGAAAGGAGACTTCAAAATAACTTCTTTTGGATCCATCAATGTGAATGTTCTGTCATTTTGTATTCTTATTTTTAAATCCTGTACTTTGTCCAATGGCAGGGGAGGAGATTGTTTTGTTGATTGACAACCAATAAAAAGGAGAACACTTAGTTTACAGTGCAAGTGATTATAGAAAACTGACTACAACATGCAAAAAAACAAAACAAAACACCGATTTGGCCTTTTAACTAAGAAAATTGCAGCTTCAGACATGAAAAAATGGTAAAAACATCATATAATAATTATTTTGACGGATATTACGATCCACAATTACGTGGAAATTATCATTTTTTGCATCACAAATTTAATTTTCTCTACATTTTTGGAGGATCTGTACCAAACAAACTTCTTAAATCTGGAGGACAAAGATTTGCAGACCAGGACAACTCTGCAGCACTAAAATACTTCATTATAATGCTGTTTAATCACACATTTCACCTTCGAGATCAATGTTTAAAAAACTATTCCTCATTTAATTCAGTCAGTCACACACTGCCATACATTTACTTCTATCTATATTATATCTTAAGGTACATACTCTTTTATTCTTATATATATATACCTGAATGTACATTTCCTATTATAAATGTAGTTATTTCTATTGTTTAACATTGTGTGAGCATCTTGAGTAAATCTCTCTCTATATATATAACGTTATATCACATTGTTTAATCTCTCTCTTTAATATTTACAGATAAATAAACAATGGCTGCAGATGTAAACAAACAACGGTGGGAACAAAGACGAAGGAAACATTACAATAAAACATTAAAAAAAATAAGAAAATTACAGCTTTGCACCACGTTAGAAATAACATGTGTACTGGGTTTAATCTGACGTGTAAATATATTAAACATAACATTTAAATAAGGGCTTTATTTTTTATTTTTTTTAACACAATCTAATGAATGTTTACGGTTTAATCTCATAACATGGAGCTAGCCGAGTTAGCTGCGCACAACCAACCTTCTCATCTTCTCTCGTGTTGTTTGACATCTTCACATTGACGTCCTTGGCGTGAATGTTCTCCTTGTGCTCATCCATTAAAATATGTTGTATATATATTTTTAAAATATCCTGAGTTAATTAATGGGAATAATGTCCGTAACTAGCGGCCGGGGGTGTCGTTAGCTCCACTTGCTAACAGGATAGCCACCATTATTTCCCGCGTCGTCTACGTTGAAGCCGTCGCGTGCGCTGCTACTTTGTTGAATTAATTATTGTTTAAATTTAAATTAAAATCTAATAATAATAATAATAATAATAATAATCACCGCCAGCAGCGGCTCTCACAATACATCAGCAACATAAACTTTTTTTTTTTTTTTTTTGTCTTTCAAGGCGGACAGTTATGACGACTTCCGGTTTGCGCCAAAGCAACCCGACGCTAACGGCCGCCATCTTGTGTCGGGGATGACTCACAACATGGCCTCTGATTATATTTTTTATTTATATAATAATAAAAACAATAAACATTATATTTATACACAAATATATTATATTTATGTATTTCTGAAACATAAAAAAATATATTTTATTATTAAATTTTTTCTATGTATATATTGTATTATAATGTACATAGACTTTTATTATATAATTATTTTATTTAATTATATATGATTATATTATTTTTATTGTATATGTATATACCAATATCCATTCTTTCTCTATTTTTATTCCTAGATATATTACATATTGATATATAATTATTACTTATATTCTTTAATTGCGTGTGAGAACATTAAGCAGCTGTAATCAATCAATCAATCAATCAATCAATCAATCAATATATTATTTCCGATTCTGATTCTGATTTTTTTCTGGGACTAATGTCATATTAACACCTGTAGATTCCAACAGACGCCCCTTTTAATTTATATATATTATATTATATACATATATATATTATTTATGTATTTCACTAACAATAATTAGTCTCATATTTAATTCAAAAATAAAAACAAAAACTACAAAAACTATAAAGTAGTATTTCAAATGATGTGTTATGTAAACATGTATATAGATATTTATCTCTGCTCTTGTAAGTAGTGGTGGACCGCTTACTCTATGTGTGTTCACAGAGTTAAAATGAGACAACATCATTAATTTAGTGGAGGTATTATATTATATATAAATGTTACATATTTTGTGTACATATTATTAAAGATGTAATATCTTTAATAACATAATAATAATAATATATAAAACATGTGTTTGGATGTACATCTTGTGAACATAACACATGAAGATAGGATACACAAGATATATTTATTGATTTTATTTTATGTTCACTGTTGATGAATAATCTTTTAAAACAGTTACATTTGTGAGAGATTTTGTGGAACAATTCATGTTTAATCTGGAGGCACTGCTCATATCTGACAGCTAGGTGGCAGTCTCATCCAACTGCGCCATACACGCATACATAGACTACACAGTATGCCTCAGCAGATGTATTGGGAGTACAGATGTTTGAACCTAACCTGGCCCGGTGCTGTAGTGAGCCATGGCTTTCTGAGCAGGATTAACTCTGGCAGAAACAGAGCAGTTTGCAGGACAAAGAGCAGGAGGAAAGAAAAAAGGGGCAAAACACCACCTGAATAATAAATCTGAGGCCAGAACAACTGGGTAAAAGATTTATGATCCACAAAACAGCTGGAACGGTGACTTTGCTAGTTGTTGTATGTCCAATAAAACAATCACATATTTGTTGGTGTGGCTGAAATGTTTCTGCTGCAGGAAGGCGTCTCAAATTAAATGAAAATGTTTGTTTTTTTTGTTGTCTTAATGAAGATAAATCAAAAACCACCTGACATTTATTTCAGGATGCATCTGTGAATCCTTCAGGAATGAGTTAATTTATTATTATTGTCAGTCTGTCGTCGCTTCAGAGTATTCAGGATCATTTTATATTGAAGTAAAAGTAGCAATACTACACTGCATTCAAGTTCAAAAGGATTGGCATTAAAATATATTTAAAGTACCAAAATTAAAAGTAGTCATAATACAGAATGATCCATTTCAGAGTAATGTATATTATTATATTACTGGGTTATAATCACTGATAGGCACTACTTTAAACTACTTTTTAATCACTTTATATACTGTATCTTTACCTATATTCATATTCTATTTGTTGATTATGTTTTGCATTCACATAAGTAAAGTAACTAGTGCCTAAATTGATCAAATAAATGTAAAAAAGTCTAACGTTTCCCATTGAAATATAGTGATGTAGAAGTGTAAAGTGACATAAAATGGTACCAGTACCTCAAAATTAAAGTAAAAGTACTTAGTTACTTTCCACCTTTGCTTATTTCTTGAAATCTTTGCACATTACTTTGATTTTGTGGCCAAATATAATAATAAAAAAGTGGACTGACTTGCACTTGATCGTACATCTTTTCTACAGCTCTTAGAAACAGGCAATAAAAATCCTGTGTTTTTTTAATAGATCCATAAATCCACATCAATAAATGACTATACCTCCTCATAAAGCTCGTAAAAGAACCGAAGTGAAATGAACACGTCAGCCAATAACTGCATCATAGGTTCTATTAAATTATATTCTGGCTGACTGACATCTGATCAGATACGAGTGGACCTTTCTTTCTGGAATTCAAAAAGTTGACAAAAGGAGCGTTCAGAAAGTCATTTCCATGTCCCTGAAGTAGTTTCAGTCTGTGGACAACCAACTCTTTAATTTCCATACTAATGACATCCGACACATACACTGCGCCTGTCACCATCCATCATTACACACTGATTTGTTTTTCCATGCTAGTCAACAGCTCAGTGTGTCCGACCCTGCTCTCTATCAACCCTGCTCTAATATATCCTGAAGGACACATTATTTTATTTCATATTTGGCTGTTTGGGTTAGCTTATCATAAAGACTGGTAACAGTCAGTTTTAACCACGTAAAAAGGACTTTTACATTTGTAAAACGCTGTAAAAAATAAAGTTTATTATTGTAATTAATTGTTAATCGGTGCAAAAACCTGAGTGTAAAAATGACGTGGTGTTATGGTCCCCCAAAACACCACAATGTGTAATTTGTGTTACAGCTTTTGTGTGGATTCAACAAACAGGACATAACTTAATTAATGAGCTTTAGAGGTTTTAGTAGGAGGATTTTGTTATGCTTTGACAGAGCAATACTGTTTATGCTAAGCTAAACAAAGCAGTCTCCTCACTGTAGCTTCATATTTAAATAACAGACGTGACAGTAGTATTTACCTAGAAAATGAGCACCAGCCAAATGCTGATAAAATATGCAAGTGGCCGTTAGATTAGCTCCCTTCCCAGCCAATAAACAATCTAATCTATCGAGTAGAAGGTAAAAATTTAAACATTTACTCACCATTTGGACAAAAAAAGGAGACAAAAAGGTGAATTTTATCACCCTGTTTATCATATGATTATCAATACAAAAGCTAATAAGAGTATTTTACTATTTCTTTTTTAAGCTACAATATATAATAAATATAGTTTATAGTTTACCTAGCTAATTATTTATGATTTCTGCCTAAAATGTGTTGCAAAATTCATATTCTGGTATATATGGTTTTAACTAACAGCACAATAATGTTCACATCAACTAACATATTCCCTGTAACACTAGAACGAACACACTGTGCAGCTGTTGTTTGTCAAAGTCATTTACACCCATTTTATGTATGAATTCCTTATGATGCTTGCAGAGTGGTTTGATCCCTGTTCTTACATCACACAGCCTGTCGGATGGATAATGTATAATGGATGAGATTCTGGGAATAAAAAAAAGGCACCAGCAAGAAAACAGAAAATCGTGGAGGGGGGAAAAAAAATGCTTAGAAAAACCAATATTTATTTTCTCATTTGAAAAAAATAAAATAAGGTTATGGAAACATAACCAGAAACTAAAGCACATAGGAGAGAACAGAAATGTGAAAATACACATTATGTACTGACAAATACAGCTTCGGAGAGGAGGTGCATGTCTCTCCTGAAGAGTAGAGAAATAGTGTTTGAGCCAATTTGAAACAAAAGAAAAAGAATAAAAACAGTAATTTCAGTGTTCCTTAGAAAGGCTGAGGTGCCTTAAAATTCTCTATATTTGGCTTTTGAGGGGACGCAAACAGATGTCACACAGTATAAGTGATAAGCTGCATTGAAAAAGGCATCAGTCCCATTTCATCCCTCTCATCATCACAGTGATACAGGGTTAGGGAACATGGAGCTACATTGTTCACTTTCCTCTATCCAATCTGTAATGCTGCATTCATGGCACAGGGGGAAAAACACAGCTGCTATGGGTATTGATATTACCACTTTAGTTTTAAGTGGTAAATGCTGCTTGGGGGGGGGAACGGTCATTTTAATATCTTAGTGCAAGAGCTGACGTACTTGCTTTTGTTTTTAAAACAATTTAAAGACAACAATCTTCATCCTCCAAGTCACGGACTTTCTGTGCTAATTTCCCTGACATCCTCTCAAATGAGTCACTCCCCCAGCTGTGCGAGAGTAAAGTGTGAAATTATTATAAGGAATTGAAATGTAGTAGCATTAATCACCCACGTTCTCTCTCTCTCTCTCCGAAGCTTGAGACGATCCTCAACAGGTGAGAATCCTTTCAAGTCGAGACTTTGAACTGTTAGTACACACATCATCCTCGCGGTTATTCCCCCGCGGGCATGAACGCAGCACGACTTCAAAAAGGCTTCACACAAAACACAAGTTGGTTCTGTTCACCGTGTAAAAATAAAAAAAGGAAATTCCATAAAAACATGCTCGCATTTAGAGCTTTCATCTAATCGCCCAGGATCTTCCTCACAGTCTTTGGAACTGAGTAAAGCACGTCAACTCACCGAATGTTATTCCCAAAATAACTCTGAGCAGCAACTAATTTTACATGACAAAAAAAAAAAACCCAGAAGCATTAAATTAACAAGACAGGAGGCAGTTTATAAGCTTTCCTTTCAAGGAATAGTTTGACATTTTGGGAAATATGCTTGTAAGTTTCCTTAATGAGATCTAGTTAGCTTAGCTTAGCTCAAAGACTGGAAACGGGGGGAAACAGCTAGCCAGGTTTTGTCCAATAACAGATCATGGCTTTACGTGTTAATTAGTGAGCTTAACAGGTTTCCAGTCTCTATGCTAAGCTAAGCTAACTGTCACCTGGCTCTATTTTTTTTTTTTATATTTAGCATACAGACATGACTGGTGTCAATCTTCTCACCAAGAAAGCAAAATGTATTTCACAAAATGTTCTGTTAAGAAACGAAGTACAAACACACACAAGCAGGCGTACAGTACATGAACACACACACACACACACACACACACACACACAGAGTCTAAAACAATTTCCTTTTGAATGAGACAAGAAACACGTCACATGAATACAGAACAATTAAGTACAGACACACGGTACAAATCAACCTTCAGGTGGATGTGTCTTTGTGTTGCCACAGCTGGCTGGTGTACGAGGAGGCGTACTGTGCGGGTTCGAGACTGACCGACCGGCCATGTACTGCCAGTGAGTGCTTGTTCAGAGGTGTGAGGTGGTGCTATATCAGATACCCTTCCCTTTAAGGGCAGGAAATAATCACTGTATTTTGAGGCCCCAATTAAAGCCCTCTCCTCTATATTTAGATTTTAGTGTCTGTTGTTGGTGCCACCAGAATCTTCTGATGACCAGATGAGAGCAAGGGGGAGTCCAGAAGCCAATAATATGGCTGTCACCGGATCAATTCCAGCCGATTCGTCTCTTATTGGTCCGATACTTTGGACTGTAGTGATACACCGTCACTGCAGTTCGTACGTTTGCACCTTCTTGCAGACAGCATGTTGTTAAGTTAAAGTTTTGATAACTTATATCAGCTTACACGTGTGAGTTTGTTTGTTGGAATCACTGTGGAGATGCATTCTGGGAAAGGCTTTGCGGATTTGTGTGGACCCCATTTAGACATGCAAAGCACACAGCCATAAATCACCATGGAGCCTAAAATCGCCGGGGGGAAACAAGGGGGCTGGTGTAAGGCTACATGTAAACTCCTCCCCTGTTGTTTTTCGTGTTCCGGTCTCATTTTGTAGTCCCAGATCAGTGCGGCAGGACCAATCGTTCCAAAGCGCACTGTAAATGTTCCCAGTTCTTCCACAGCAGCGCCAGCAAGGACACGCCAACGCAGGTGAGCGCCAGGTGGAGGCGGCTCCGCAGCAGCGGGGCGGTGAACTTCGCTGCCGTGGAAACGCACACCAAGATCACGGTGACGATAGCCAGCATGATGTTGATGCATTTCCCCAGCAGCACCTTGGCGTCGGTGTTCTCCACCTGAACCGTCTGCTGCTGCTGCTGCTGGAGCTCGAGCTTAGAAACACGAGTCTGGCACGACTCGAGGACCTCCTGCACACACGCACACGCACACACACACACACACACACACACACACACACACACACACATTAAAAACATTAGTTAAGATCAGGGGAAATACTGGAGAACTATGAGTCACAAGGGAAGGGCAGTGAAATGGGAACTGACATTAATTTCATTAGTACAGGAGTTGTGTATCACATTAGAAATAAATAGGAGATGCTGGAGGCTCCGGTGTGTGCCATGTAACCAAATCAGACCGGAGATATTGTTGCATGTCTGTCTTCTTCTCGCTCTCTCTCTCTCTCTCTCTCTCTCATTCTCACCTGTCTGTCTTTTTCTTTCCCCAAATTACACTAGAAAACTAAAATAATGGGAATTGTACCACCAATTGGAAAACAACAGGCAAATAAGTTGGGCCAAATCTAAAATATTTTCATTGCTGACTTATCTCATAAAAGGCTGACATCCTTAATATTATTTAACACAGAAATACAATCTCCAATAATGTAACAACTTTATTGGTTTAAGTTCTGACAATCAGTTTTAATTATTTCTGGGAAGTTGTGTTTTTTTTTTTTTTTTTTTTTTTTTGGCGCACAACTCTAAAACTACAATACCCATAAGCCTTGGCTACTGTATAGAGAAGAGATCAGTCAGATCCATGATTCAGAGTTTCAAAATGGTTTTAATGCCACAGTTAATTAGATTTTCTCCAGCTTCGGCTGCCATTAACATTAATCTTAAGCTCTGTGGTTGGATCATTTGAACAGAAATGTACTTTGGTATTCACAGTTTGTCTTATATTAAGGATAGATACCAGACATTTTCTAAGATATCTTCATCTATATGTATATATTTCTTTATCTTTTGGACTGATAGTTCAGTTGGGAGAATTTCAAACTCATCTGTGTTGTGGAAATCCCCCAACATTGTCTACGGAGAAAATGAACTAACTGTACTTTCCCAATGAGAACCAGGAGCATCTGAAACAATCCCACTTGGCAACTCTATTCATGTTACAATGAAATAAAACAGAAACTCAACAAATGCTCACATTTAAGAATCTGCAAACAGTGCATTTATGCTTTATAAATGACATTAATACATAAAATATGAATGTCAGTACTATAAGTTAAGTGCCTTTATAGTCTGAAACAAAACAGGGAAATTCCAGCACTGTACTTGTTCATATATATATATGTTAATCAAAGGTTAAATGTGAGTGTGTGGTGTATTATATAACTGCTACTTATAGGCTATAACTGTGTGGTTGTGTACGTACACAAAACACACATTACCTGTATGTCCCTGGCCCGCTCATAGGCCTGGTAAGCCACCTTCTCCTCGATACTGGCCAGCTCCTGCTTCAGATTACTGGTCTCGTGCTGGTGGAGCTCTGTCAGGTCATTTAACTGGTCCTCCAACCGTTCATACCTGACACACACACACACACACACACACACACACAGAGTAGGTGGAGGCAGAGAGCCAAGAGGAGAGAGGGAGAAACAATGCATAATTGAGTGTGTGTGTGGGCGAGTAACAGTACAGTAGTTTATCAACTACTTGCAACTAAGCTGCTGAAAACATTTGCCCCTGGTTGACTTAGCAACCGTCTGGGGGTTTGTGTGTAAGCTCTGCAATCTATTTTTAGTTTACAAAAGCTTATAATAATGGCTCCTCTTAAAACTGTCAAAAGCTCTTTAAAGTTCAGCAGCAGATGTGCAAACAGAATTTGCCCAGTTAAGAGTGTTACTGCGGGGTGAGGATTACTGGATTCATCGTCAGGCACCTGCAGCAGAAGTGTGAAACTATTTATTTCTTTTCATTTCATATATTTTAAAAGGACACTTAGAGGCACGAGGAGGTTAAAGGTGTTTTTAAAGAAAAGCCAGAGCAAAAATATGCATGATTTTGTTTAACTTATAAAAAAGTTTTCTCTTTAATTTCATTTAACTTGGACCCCCAAGTTAGGATTCACTGATATAGATTATGGAATAAATATCTACTCAACTGACTCAAAATGTATTTCCTAGCGACAGAGAGCACCACACGGCCGGTTGTTAAATATCTTATGTGGCTCTGGAGAACATTTCTTAAATGGAAGTACATTACTCGACTGACATAAACAGGGTTATCTCAGTAAGTACACGTTTTAATGCATGTGTTACAAACTAGGAGCACCATCGAGATTTAAAGACATTAGCAGGCAGGAAGGGTTTCATTAAAGACACCATCGAGCTACATACAGATACATAATATGTTCTGGCTACTGATGACTGGACTGGAGATTTTTCATTTGATTTATTTCCATCTCTCTAACTTTATTATGTTTTAAATGTAATAAAATGAACTATATTAAGACTCCTGGTCATCACACACTGAGAGGAGCCTGAAACATTCATTCTGTTGCTATTAATCTAATAGAGTGCTGCTTGACCCACTTACTTTAAATTCTGTTTGAGCGTATTTGAACCGACCATCACTGGGTATGTGTGTCACGTGTGGGTGTAACATCGATATCGGTGTGAGTGTTATGAGCCATCCTGAACGCACAAGCCTACCTGTATCTCTCCTCCTGCATCATCTGTGAGAAGTAGCTGTAATCTCGTTTGAACTGTGTATTCAGAGTCTCCATGTCCTCTGCCAGTTGCGCCTGAGCCTCCCTGATCTCCCGCACCATGTCCAGCACCTCCCCCAGCCGCCCGTTGGAGTCTGACCTCCCGGGGCCTCCAGACCCGGCCCCCGAGCCCCCAGCTGGGTTCCCGTTTGAGTCGGCAGACGCAGACGTCCCCGTGGAGCACTCGTCGTCGCTGGGATACTTGGTCGTCTTGGCTACTGTGTTGGCGCTCCCGCTCAGGCCCCTCGCCCCGCTGTCCACCTGCAGCCCAGACCCCGCCTCCATGGAGCTCTTGAGGTGTGCGATGTTGTCGGCGCTTCCAAACTTGTTCCTGATGAGGTTGGCGAACTCCCGCGACTTGTTGAAGAAGAAGGGCGGTGAGAGCGACACACCGGGACCGATTGTCTTCACTTTATCCAGAGCCGGGTGCCTCCCGGTGACGCTGACGTCCCGCAAGCTGCCCTCTTTGCTGTGAGTCCCAGACTCCTTGCTGCTGCCATCCTTGTGGCCGTGCTTCCCGTTAGTCTCGCTGTCCTTCACGCGACGGTGGTACTGCTCCAGTTTCCTCTGCAGCCGGGCGATGGTGTGCGCCGACTTCTGGTTCTTCTTTTCGAAGACCTGACGTATTCGCCCCACCTGCTGCTTGTCAGCATTGTTTACCAGCTTCAGGTACTCGGCGACATTCTGGTCTCGAGCCGTCTGCTCCACCTTAATCTGCTCCGTCACCTGCAAGGGAGAGTGAAATTTGTTCCAAAATGTAAAATATGCAAAACTCCCAGTGCGGAAATGATTTAGATGTAGATTTAGAAGTTAACATAGATGACAGAGCACTTCTTCACTACATGGCTACACTCACACTGCAGGTGTGAAGAGGCCTCATATCTGACTCAGTTCTGTTTTTTCCTGACAACTTAAAAAGCACAAATCCCATGGAACTAAAAGTGCAGAAAATATCTTAATCTACTATTAGAGAAACAACTCTTTTAGCATTATTAAGACTTCCAGTTAACTGTGAAGGTCTACATGCAGGAAGTGGGGAAGCATCGGCCGTAGCTTTACTCAGAAATGTGTCGACAAACTGCAGTAAAAAAAGAAGACTGCAAGCTCGTAAACATGGATGTAAACAATTCTAGATTTAAAATGTTGGCTGCAAGGATACACACACAGTAAGTTTTGGTGAGTAACAGTACTGCTTCAAAGATCTCCAGTGAATAACTAAACCCAATGCCCTTCTGAAGCATCATTTTGAGGAGAAGTGTGTATGTGGGAGCCGTAACATTATTTGTTTATAATCTCTTCATTTGGTTTCTGTTATGGCCCCAAAAGGCTTTTAAAAATTAGGATAAACCACTAAATCAACTGAGAGATATGAAGACAAATTGCACTGATGCATAATCGTACTATGGTGGGAATAATTCCACTCTGAGAAAGCATGTGAAAGCTGAGACTAGGCTGAAAATGAATTAAAAGATGGGATGGAATACAATTCATTACTGCAACAAATCAATTTAATAGCTTTTTGTGATTGGTATCTGTAGTATCATAGCGGAAATCGAAATGGGAACCGTCTCATTATTGGATTAAGAAACACAGCTCTACCACACCGAGCTAAGGATGTATTTAATATTCACTCTTGTGTAATGTTTGTGCAGAAGGTTCCACGCGTCATATGTGTGCACACCGTTCTGCAAGTCAAACACAGTGAATCTACAAAGAGAGGCCGCATGCAGGAGGTGACTCGTGTTTTACTCTCTACCTTGAGGATCTTCTGCTGCAGGCTGTCGATACCCAGCGCTCCCTTGGTGAAATCCAGGCCCACTCCGTCATCTCCAACGCTGTCCACCACGTCCAGGTTGGACTCTGAGCCGCCGCGACGGATGGGCACCGGGATGCTGAGGATGTTGACATCGGAACTGCTGCGCTCTGCCTATGGACACACATACGGAAAAGAATGAAAACATTTGAATTCTCCCAGAGTTTCCGTCTTAAAATGTCTTGTTTTGTTCGATCAACAGTCCTTAAACCCAAATATACTGAGTTCATAGTCAGTGTCCATTGACCAATCGAGTCAGCTAAATATATATATAAAACAAACGTTCAGCATTCAGGGTGTTATCTCGAGTGCAGCTGATACGATAACAGCTTTAAAAATCAAAAGCCAGACACAATCTGACTCTGTTGTTGCTATTTTAGCCCCGGTGATGTATTACCGCTCACACATTAGGTGCACCTAAGATAATAACTGTTGTTGAGAGCTGTACTTGTGAGGCACAAAATTATATAATGCCTCCTTCAACAACTTCAGAGAGACTGCTCCTTCTGAATTACACCGAGTAGTATACCTGGAATAGAAACTGAAGAGACACAATACATGCTGGTGCTAAAAGCAAAGCCTCTGAGGTCTGTACAAGCTGTCAGACTAAACTATGTAACCCAGCCATGTTAGCACCTCTGTGAGGCTGTATTTACAGCTAAATGACAATACTAACATGCTCATGTACAGCAAGTATGATGTTTTACCATGACTGGCGTGGTAACATTTGCTAACTAGCACTAAATATTTAACTAAAAGCGGCAAATTTAAACCTCATGGAAAGGTCAGGGGCTTTTGTTGGGTCTTTTTCTTACACAAAGTCAGTCGGATTCATCCTCTGGGACCATGAAAGTCTGTGTAATCCACTAGTTGTTGAGATATTTCAGCCTGGATTAAAAGTGGTGGACCAGTGTAGACTAGTATTAAGAACTGCCTCATTCAACAACTTCAGAGAGGAAATTAAAATAGAAGACAAAGTGCTACACTGCCAGTAAAAACTAAAAAATACATATATTGCAGACAGAAGAAAGACTTTGACGTCAGATGCTGCGGCTAAAAACGATGTACCAAAAAACCTGCGGCACAATCTTGTGCCATTTGATATAAAACAGCAGGTGTGTTTATGTTGCCTCACACAAAAGCTCTTAGTAAGTACACACAACCACGTTGGCAAGAAAGACAGACATAAAGTAAGAGCAAAGCCAAAAAAGAAAAACAAGAGGATCAAAGGAGTATTGAGTGTGCAGTCTTTGAGAGGACTCTGGTGTTTAGACTGGAAAGGAAAGAGGAGGAAAAAAGGGAGCTGATGAGACAGTAAATCTGTCTTAAGACTGCACAATGGTCAGTTAGTGGAGCAGTGTGCAGCCCAGGGCTCCATTCAAGCAGCCCCCCCAGTGCCTCTTGTACTGAAAATCCACTCTCTGTATTGACAAAAGCAGACGATTATGTAAGGCAACCTAAAATATTAGTATGTGGTAACTCTTGTTGCCACGGCAGCAAAGCATACACACACACACACGCAGACAGACTAAGCTTTAAAACACACACACACGCAAGCAAACTGCTGACATACCCTGAAGGCAGGTTTCTTTTTTGTCTTTTTCTTACACATAGATGAGCAGAATATATATATATGACATTTTAATTGTGTGCTGTGGCTTTTTTTGGGGGGTGTACAGCCTGTGATACAGCCTGCTGAGTCAGCTATCGTCATCCATAGCGGTGAATAATAAGTCCAATAAAACATTGAGTTAAACTTTTTGCAATCTTTATTCAGTAACCGAGAGCCATTCATATGAATTTCCGCTCTTCTGAATTAAATTATACTTCTTGATACTCCTGAGTGCAGATGGCTAACACCCTCAGAACATCGCACATTCACCAGTCCAGCCAGAAATGCAGCCGGAGCGAACCCGTGTTGTAAATAACGGTTGATACCATCAACATTTTAAAAAAAAGGGAAAATATAGAACATTTGCTGTTTGTTGATTAACGAGTGGAGGGTTCGTTTGCATTTATTTACACTGCTGGTTGAGCCAACGAAGCAGTTTTTCACACTCTGGTAGCCTGTGATGAGATTTTAACAATTTATATAGCTGTAGGGAATAACGCCATTAACCCTTAAATGTCCGGACCTCTGGAGGCACCATATTCTTAATCTGGTTTATGTTTAGGGCTTCTTTTTTCCTTTTTGTAAAGAGTTCAAAGATGAGTTCAAATCATTATATTGATTACGGTCGAGTTTCGAATGTGTGGAATAAATGTGGTTCTGCTGAGTTAATTCAGATTTGTGAGTCATGAGTTCGACAGCGTTTTAGGAGTGCGTTTCTAAACATGTTACATGTTAATTGAGGCTTTTCATAGCACTTCAAGTGCTAGGGTCCCTTGGCTGGAGCGGTGGGAAGCAAGAGGTTAATCAAAGAAGTAATCAGCAGAAAATTTAGTAATTAAAAGTCATTATTAAACGCAGCCTGAGTTATTAGTCCCTAATGACGATCACTGAACAATGAACAGGATACAAGGCATCATCTTCCTATCGCTGCACACAATAAAAACCCCTGCTTTAGACTTAAAAAACAACAACAAAAAAACAACAAAACAAAACAGAAGCAACCTTGAATTCAGTTGGATTGGATTCAAGGTTGTGTGTTTTGTAAAAAAAAAAAAACATTTGTGACCAGCCTTCATTTGCACAAACCAACGTTTTTGCCTTTCCCTCCTTCGCTGCCTCTCTCACACTCACACACACACACACACACACACACACACACACACCAGCCCGGTCATAAATCAGCCGGCTGCAGGAGATTCAAGTGTATAAACACGCGGTCAGCAGTGCCTCACACTCTGCAGTCCGCACACGTATCGAACATCCCCTACTGGAAAGTGGGTCTGAGGGTGAGAGTGGGGGAAATTATTAACATGTGAACACACAGAGCAGCACCATATGTCTCAGAGGACACACGTGAGCAGATATCTGGCCACTGCTCGTCCTATGACCTCGGTCTGCACTGAGGCCATTTAGATTATCATACAGATGGGTGGACACACAGCCAAAACACACAAACAGCGGGGCATTTGTCCGGTGGGGAAATATAAAGGAGATATTCGGATATTCACTTGTGTAGAGCTGGGAGATTCTGCTCATCTCAGAGAGATAAAAAATGTATGAAAGGATGTGAATGCAGAATGTTCTTCTCTCTCCAATTTCTTTCCCCTCCGAGGGAACTACTGGCCTTATAAACTTGCTGTAAAAATGCTCTTAAATTAGATTTTTCACAGCAGACAGCCCACAAGTGAAGAAGCTAACAAAGACATGTGAAGGCTAACTTGGTTGATTTACGTAACGTCTGCAGCATCCGGGGGTTTAAACATGGTCTGGAAGCTCTGATGCAAATAAAAAACCATCCATCTGAAAACCTCAAGCTCTACTCTTCTGTTTTTTTGTTTCCTTCGTGGCACAACGATCCTCTCGAGCCCACAAACAACCACACAAATACATGAATATTGAAAGTTTGCCAATCAAACAACTTTGGTAATTGATTAAGTCATTTATCATCAACGACTTGTCGAACACTCGCTGGTTCCAGCTTCTCAAATGTCAGAATTTGTTGCTTTTCTTTCTTTTTAAAAGGTTGTAAAGTAAATATCTTTGACTTTTGAACCACACAAAAGCAACTTGAACGTGTCATTTTTGGGTTTGGGAACTTCTGTAACAATTTAGAGAAGATATTAATTAATTAATCTGAAAACAAAACTACGAGTCTACAGTCAACAACTGCATTCTAACATGCTCACAATGACCGTTCAGGAGCTAATGTTTGCCATTTACCCCATGTTAGTGTAGCTTGTTGGCATGCTAACATTTGTTAAATTAAAAATATGTGATGTACTAGTATAGTATAGCTGAGGCTGATGGAAATGGGATTAGTTTTGAGGTATTTGGTCACAAACCAAAGCGTTGCACCCCTTGCGGGGCTAGATGAAAAGTCTGATGGTCATCAAAGTTTTTCCACTTCATCCTGGGGGGTGCGTGAACGCGTGTGCCAGTTGTCATGGCGATCCATCTAATATTCATCTGATAGATGATTTCATTTGGACCAGAGTGATGGACAAACTGACCAACCGACTGACCTTCCAAGAGCCGGGCTGTGGCTAAAAATAATCTATAGATCGACTGATGATGAAAATAATAATCAATCAAAAGGCCTAAACTGTTGCAACACAACAACACGTAAAGCAGAAGAGATGAGGCAGACATAGCCTGCTTTGGCTTTTCTACTTTCCAAATCTAAGATTAGAGACTGGAGAGGAAGCTGTGTACACTCTTATGTGAAAAATAGAGAGAGTGGGCCAGCAAGTGCTACTCCAACTCCCACTAAGCCAGCTCATCCGAGCATCTCATTGATGAGCTGGGAGAAGGGACCTTGCCACGGGGAGACGAGGGCCTGGCACAAACACACAGGAAATTGCCAAGGGAAAGCCTTTTTCTCTTTGTTGCTCCCAGCACAGAAGCTATTCAGATGCTATTTATTGCTGAGTCCGATCCATCAATTTATTTTCCGCCAACATGAGCCAGAGGTAGAGACAACTTAGAAACAAGGAAACGGTAAACATGTCATCCCTCAGGAGCGACGCAATCATCCCCTTCGGCTAATCAGTGCCATTTGGCTGATAGGCAGAGGTGAAACTCAACATTTTGTCAAAAACCAATCAGCAGCTGTCTGCCAAGTGATGAATGAACAAACCGCCCCGCAACACCAATCAATCAATTCAAGGCTGTTTACAGGACATTTAAAATCATCCCCCGGGGAATGCTAGTTAAGATAAGTAGATAAATATTATTTGTCAACAGTCTCACAGGAAGCTTGCTTACGGTCTGCTTGCTTTTAAAATATTACGGTGCTGATAATGCATCAGTTAGTTGGCCATTATTTTAATAACCGAATAATCATTCAGCCATATTTTCAAGCAAAGATGCCGAACATTTGCTAGTTCCAGTTTCTCAAATGTGAGAACTTTATTGCATTTTCTTTGTCGTACATTATAGTAAACTGAATATCTTTGGGGTTTCGCAAATGTCCGCTTGTGGGAAATTATAAAAGGCGGAGTAT